CCTATCCTACAAGCCAAATACGATAGGATTCCTAAACAATTTGTTTTCGATAAGAAATACAAGATACAGTTAAATGAAAACAGCCAGCCGGAAGGATTAAGCCCAAAAGAGCTTAGAATTTTCACCGATGGTTCTAAAACAAATGAAGGTGTAGGTTCTGGAGCTTTCTCTGAAGACCTCAATATTCACATATGCACACCGCTGGGTACCTATAACACGGTCTTTCAGGCGGAATGTATGGGTATCATTCAAGCGGCCATAGCAATAGATGCTAGGAAGGTTAATGACTTCCCCATCAGAATACTGACCGACAGTAGGGCGGTACTCCAAGCCCTGAGATGCAATGTGGTGAACTCGGGACTAATATATGAATGCCATCAACGATTAAATGAGGTATGTAAAAACAACAATGTGACCCTGCAATGGATAAAGGGACACAGTGGATCCAGAGGCAACGATGCAGCAGACGAACTGGCTAGAAGAGGATCGGCTTTGGCCACTATAGGGCCGGAACCAATCATACCAATCCCCTTTGGTAACGTTTGTTCACTGGTACGTAGACACTTCACTAATCAACACGCTCAGCTTTGGAAAAATCTAGTAGACTGTAGACAAGCTAGGGATGCCCTGCCTGAAATTAACAGTCGCTTAACAAAAGTTTTAATGAGACTGAACAAGCCGCAGATTAGGATAGTAACAAGTGCTATTATATATATTTACTATAGGTGTTACAGATAGTCCCCTGTGCAGGGCATGTATGGGGGAGGAAGAAACGGCGGCCCACGTGCTACTGAAATGTCCGGAGGTCGCTACATACAGGGCTAAACATCTCGGCACGCCGGGATCACTCCCCGAAGTTGCATGCAACATCAAGGGCCTGTTGAGCTTCTTCGGAGAGATCTCATGGCTCGAATAATCACATTATTCCTGCCCACACGCAAAATACGCGCATAGACGTGGAGTTGCGGAAAACAGCCTGTCGTAAACTAAACTAAACTAAACTAAACTAAACTCATCAAATCCAAATCTTGAATTCAATTGGTCGATAGTACATTTTATTACAGTTTTAAATATTTCATTTGGGTCTGGCTTATTGTCTTCTATTTGTAACAAATGCTTTAATGTATGTATTAACGGAATTACTGATGAGATACTTGTGTTACTGTCGTTCAAGTTCCGTGTAATCTCCTCAAAAGGATGAAGTATGGTAACTAGTTTCTCGAGCTGCAGCCAGGAGATATTTGTGGGATATTGTGTTTACTTGCGTATAAGCGAAGTGAATCCTGTATTTTAATCATTCGTTCCAACATATAAAATGTACTATTCCAGCTATAAAAAAGTAAAATTAAGTAAGAATAACAATGTTTTACTATTGAACCATACAAGTTAAATTGACTAAAATAATAATGGTAGTAATATGAGAGGATTGCGTGATTATTTATTACACAACATAATTTAGTTCTTAACTCTTTTAAATAAAATATAAGTAAATTATATATCAAATTTAATTATAAATATATACTATTTAATGCGAATGCATGTTTAAAACCACGTTTTATCAAAATTGATTCAGTGGTTTGGCTACAAGGTGTAACAAATGGATAGAATAGAATGGTTTTTATTCAATATTGATTATTACATAATACTTATTGAAAGTCATTATTTATTTACCGCTGGTTCGGAAAATACCTCTGTCCTGGGAAGAACCAGCAAGAAACCCAGGATAGATAGAGAATAGGGATACATATCAGTGTGTTAAACAAAAAAAAATTTAAAACTTACCGCGTATTACACTCCTGCACCACACCTAAAACATCTTTTTTTTTTATAGAATAAGGGTGACAAACGAGCACACAGTCCACCTGATGGTAAGTGGTTGCTGCGGCCCATAGACATCTACATCTATCCTCTATTACAAATCAAAATGTAGATGCGTTGTCACCCGTGAGGACTAAGATGGAATGCCTCATTTCCAGTGAAAAGGGCCTCCGGCCACCTGCACTAACCAAGCGAAACGCAGAGGTAAATCTCTACTTCACGCTGGTTTTCTGTGAGGTCGTGGTACCACCCCGGTTCGAGTCGGCCCATCCGTGCGACAGCAAAAGCTGCCGCGTGGCTCTATCACTGTTAAAATCTTGGTTAAGTTGTTCCTTTTGTATTTTATGCAGTTCCGATTGAGCAATTTGGGAGTGATTAAAATGCGTCGAATTTTTTTTTATTACTTTATTACGTTTTTGATTTGTTCATCACAATCTAATATAGATTTAACAGTGGTAGAGAAACGCGGCAGCTTTTGCTGTCGCACTGATGGGCCGGCTCCAACTGGGGTAGTACCACGACCTCACAGAATACCAGCGTGGACTAGAGGTTTACCTCTGAGTTTCGCTTGATGAGTGCAGGTGGCTGGAGGCCCTTTTTAATGGAAATGAGGCATTCCATCCTAGTCCTCACGGCTGAAAACGCATCTGCATTTTGATTCGTAATAGAGGATAGATGTAGATGTCTATGGGCCACAGCAACCACTTATCATAAGGTGGACTGTGTGCTCGTTTATCACCCTTATCCTATAAAAAAAAATATTGCACACATAGTTGTAACTGATGTACCGTACAATTGATATCAGGTATAGCAGCGAGTCTCATTGCTCCTGTCATATTAGATCCAGAATCTCAAATAAAACAATGAATTTTCTCATTTGTTCCATTCCATTAACATTTCATCTATTTTTTTTTGGATTAGGTTTCCTGTATGTTTTCCGTGAAATGTGTGACATTTTATAATAACTTTTATCCTCTTGAATTCATTTATTTCGTGTGCTGTTAGACTTAATAACTATACATTCGAACTTGGGTCGCTCCAAATATCTGTTGTAAATGAGATTTTCTCAAATTGTTGAGAAGTTGTAAAGGTTTGAGATTGTCTCAAACCTTTAATAATAATAATAATAATAAAGCCATTTATTCAACAGTACGTAATACAATTTCTTAATATCTAAGTCATATAAAATCTACATTGTCTTCTGCTGATTGCCAATCGGCAAAGGCCTCCTCCAACCTTTTCCACTCGTTTCTATCCTTGGCAACCCGGTTCCAAGTCACACCCGCGAATTTGACCAGGTCGTCCTCCCATCTTTGGCGGGGTCTCCCCCTCTTTCTTATGCCATTCCTGGGGTACCATTCTGTGACCTTCCTGCTCCACTTTTCCTTCCCTCTACTCATATGCCCAGCCCATTTCCACTTTAATTTCCTCACTTTTGTTGCTATGTCCCGAACCTTTGTGTTTTTCCTAATGTCTTCTAACCTGACTCGATCCTTTTTCCTGATTCCCATCATACTTCGCTCCATCGAATGCTGGCATATTTTTAATTTCTTACTGTTTAATTTAGTAGGAGCCCATGTTTGACATCCGTACATCAATACAGGAAGAATGCATGTGTTGAATACTTTGGATTTAATGGATATGTGCAGTTCTTTATCTTTCACTATTTCCTTCATGCTCCAATATCTTTTCCATCTGTTAGCTACTCTCCTGTTGATTTCTTTTTCCATGTTGTCTGTGGGTGAGATCATTTGGCCCAGATAGATGTATTCATCAACGTATTCTATCTCACTTTGGCCAACCCTGATGTTTTCATTCTTAGGTCCGTTGGTCATTACTTTCGTTTTCTCCATGTTCATTTTCAATCCCACCGTGTCAACACCCAACTTTCTAATGCCAGATCATTTGCCATATCATTTGCCATCAGTCTCAAACCTTTATCTTTTCTGCTAATTTTGTGTATAACTCACCACAAATATATTCGATGAAAAATTGTCTTTCCCTTAACTGATAATTCAGCACTATGAAATACATAAGCTGTCTGAATCCAATAACTTCCACGAAATTGAAGGGATGATCTTGCAAAGCAATCATTTCAGTAATCAATTTATCTATTTCGATTGATTTAGGGTTAGAACTACACCATTTTTCATTCTTCATCAAAGTGTCTTTGAGAGTAATTTGTTTTTTTACCTCTTGTACAGGCGTTGAAGTCAAAGGCTGCACTGTATTTTTTTTTAGTTTCTAATTTTGTGAATTCTTTGAATTCAGTGGCATGCACAGACTTTAAATGACTTTTTAACGAAGTAGTTGTACCTCCCTTTTGTGAATATATCTTCTGACATAGTTTACACTTTGCCGTATTCCCAGAAACTTTATTAAAATAATTCCAAATGACACTTGATTTTGGCATCATTGTCTAATTCAAATAAATTTGTCACACGTTTAATATAAAACTACTAATCTAATCAAAAACTCGGATAAGTATAAATGAAGTGCGAACGCATAACATGTCAATTGCCAAATACGAAACAAAACAACAAGTTAATGAGTAATTAACTATGTAAAACAAAGAAGTTGTTTGTACATAGACCTCTGATATAATTTCCGATTAGAATTAACGGAACCGAAATCAGAATCGAATGTGCAAAATCAATTGGAAGTTCCGAACTTTCGGAATCGGAATCGAACCTCCGTAACATCTCTAGTGTAAAGCATTGCATGCATCGCTTGGTTGTTGTTGAGTTGGAGTTGGTGAGTTATTTGACTGCATGGCCTCAGAAAGGTATGTTTGGCTTTCTAAAAATTACTGTCCGGCTTTTAGGGCCAAAAGTCCGGCTTTTAGGAGCGCCGAGTCCGGCTTTTTCATTTTAAGAGATGGCAACCCTATTTGTAAGGGATGTAGGACAGATTATTTGGTACAAGATAATTTAACTTCCACTTTCTTTGGTTTAAAATTTAATCAAACCCTCTTTAAATGATAAAGACAAAAAAATGTATGACCCATAAACTATTGTAAGACTACTTTAATAATTATTAATGTTTAATAACAATTGCTATTGCAAGATTCACCTACAGCATCTGGAACAGTTAGCTGCCTAACACAATTGCTACTTTTGATGTCTTTTGTGAGTTATGACTATTGAAATAAATACAAATAGAACAACTATTATTATACGTACTTGTTTGTTGTGCGCAATCCCAGATGTTGTCTCAGTCGAATATCTGAACTCTCGCAGGACTGTTTGAAGTGATATGCAATACCTAATTTGTAAATACAGTTGCTACACATTTGCTCTGGTAAACCATCATTCTCATAAATCTGGACAAACAAAATAAATTGGTTCAAATTAAAGATGTAGTTACTTTAGGATCAAAACATTATATTAACCAAATATTTACCTTCACATTACTACAATATTCGATCATATCGCACAAAGAAACATTGTAATTTTTTGTAAATACGGATGAGAGAAGACCTTCTTTTAAACATATTCTGCATATTTTGTCCATTTCTTCGTAACTTTTTATTTACGATTGATCATTTGATTACAGTTAAATTAAAGTATATCAGTGTTTATGTTATGCCGTTTTTTATTTTTTCATATAAATAGTTCCCTATATATAATGTACTCTGTGATAAATAGTAAATACTAGATCCAAAGAGTATATAGTGCCACCAACTTATCTGTTCAGTTGACAGCGTCGCTAGTGGAGCGCTTACTATTGCCATTTAAGAAATTCACCGAGGAAATAGGTGACTACATATTCATTACACATAATATAAAATAAAACAAATTTCTTGTTAATATATTAAAATTAGTGAGAATTAGTGTTATTATATATATTATTTATATTTTATAGAAATAATTGTGGTCGTGACCTCGGACTTCAAGCGGCTCAACTCCAGGAATTTGTGTTTTGAAAGATGTACCCGCGCTAGCTACTGGTTCCAATAATTCATCTTCTGTCACGTCACTGGAGTCGCTTTTGATATCGCTCTGACACGCTATAATAAAGGCTTCATCTAAATAAGCGTATTTTAGTCTATATTCATTTTCAAGTTTTTTATATGATTACAAATGTTTTTCCACTACACCGGTGTAATTTTATGGAATGCATCTTCAATTAATTGGGGCGTTGGAACATAAGATTTACCAACAGTTTTACAGTAGATTGAAATAAAATTTTTACTATGTTTCACAAGTACATTATTTGGTGATTTTAATTTTCCATATCTGGCAATACAAACCTGTCGCGGCAGCGACGCGTTCATACAGCTTTTCAAATTGTATAGTTGGGGCTTGTAAACGTTTCCCGCCTTCCATAAAAGATAAAACTTTCGGGATAGTCTGTCGCGCATCACTTTTAAGATCTTTAGGCATTTTATTTGCACTTTTTAAAAACACTCACCTGATAGCTCAGAATAAATAATAACTGACAGCGAAATGTCATTTACAAAATGGCGGCTTTAGTTCCAATTTTGTCCACCTGAACAGATAAGTTGGTGGCACTATACCTATATAGTAACTGTCCTATACTAGATCGAAGGGACCGATATGTCAAAACGTAACTAATTTTGTTTTGGAGTTTATGGCCTGATATCTAGACCTTTAGGCCAAGTCTTGAGTATTTTTATTCGGTTTATTATAATTTCCCCAAATGTATAATTATCCTTCATAGTTCACTGCTTCACAATATGTTGATGCGTCACATTGTGCAGCCTTTGGGAGATTTTGACGGCAACTTGAGCCAGCAGACAGCTGACAGTTGGCGATGGTATCTCAAGGCACCTATGCAGACAAACAGCTTATTTTGATAATCACATCACCATCAGAGCACTTGTTTCACCGTTTCCACTAATAGTTCACATGCGTAGACAGTTAATACATAAAATCGCACTACTTTTACATATCAAAATCCACTTCAAACTATTATTTAAACTATAATACAGGAGCAGCAAACCGCCGCCGGTCAAGTTCCCGCCAAAACACCCAGTTGCTAAACATTTTTCAAAATGTTGCTAGACTGCCAGCTTTTTTACACTAAAAATTTGCTAGAAATAGCTAAATGTAAAGTCAGTAGCGTAATGGCAGAGCGCGGACCACTAACTCGAAAGGTCGTGGGTTTGAATCCGCCATTCGACTACTGTCGTGAACCACTTCTAACACAAGCATTTTAAGCTTACCAGAAGTGGTTAAAGGGAATATTAGTAATGTTTAATAACATTACTAGTATTTTTTTAAATGTTACAGTACGTAGGTAGATTACAATAAAATGTCAATTTCTGACAATAATTTAAAATTTTCAACAAGAGAGTTAAAATGTCTTGTATACAATCATGAACAATAATGCAATCATGAGCATGAGCTGCTATTTAACGTGGTAGAGCCATGCTGCAGCTATATTAATATTATGGTTGTAGCACGAATGGGTCGACTTGACCGGGGAAGGACCACGCTCTCACAGAATACCAGCGTAAAATAGCAGCATAATGCTGCTGTGTTTCGTGTGGTGAGTGTAGAGAACCGGAGACCCATTTTACTGGAAAAGAGGCATATTATCTTAGTCCTCACGGCTGACAACGCATCTGCATTTTAATTCGCAAACGAAGATAGATGTAGATGTCTATGGGTCACGGTAACCACTTACCATTACGTGGACTGTGTGCTCGTTTGTCACCCTTATTCTATAAAAAAAAAAAAATATGTAAACAACATAGGACTATATTATATTATATTTATTGTTGACTTTTGTGGCACAAATAGTTTTGTTTCGGAACGCTTAATATGACAAAGTTCTATGTTCTTTACATATTATTGCTCGTGACTGTACGTTATTGAATAAAAAAAAAACGTTTAAAATTAATCAACCAAAAAAGAAGATGTCGATATTTGGGGTTAGAATACGAGTATTTTTGGTCTTACGTCGTTAATTCCGAATATTATTATAAAACACGGTTATAGCAGCATTTGCCACTTTTCCTGAGGGAGTCACTAATGCCAAAGAAAATATACACTACGCGAAAAGAAACGTCACTTAAGCATGTGTGCACGTAAAATCGCTTGCGGCTATGTGTGGGAGTCTGGATGTGTGCGGGGGCCTTAAGAGGCGTGCGGAGCGTGGAACGGGCCGTCACCGACTGCCCTGGCTGAGGGCTAGTACGTAGTAGTGTAGTTCGCGTCTCCTCTCTCTACTCTCACGCACCGCACGCAAGCACAGACTGACTGCGCTTTATACAAAAATAATGCCTATTTATTTGTATATAATTATTCTACCTTTATTTAGTTACAATATTTGTTTATATGTATAGCACATTTATATTACATATAATAGTTTTAAAAGATATATTTGTTGTGCCGGACGGGCGTAACTCTCCGGAGTAAATGTTGTCGAAGATACTCCGCGAGCCGCTCACGTCCTACACTTATAGGTTCCGGAGGATACTTTCACTGCCGTCTCTGTGTATGCTGTTGGAGAACTGTGGACTGAGGTTCAGAATTAAAAATGCACGATTTATGAATTAAAACAGCAAGGGAGTGGCCAGCGGTTCGACTGATTAATTAGTCGCGAAATATTACAACTATTTATTTATTGAACACGGTTGTTCAACTATGGTTCTTCACTATTGGTTGGTCACTATATATTTCAAACACAGATTTAATTAAAATGCGCGGTAATATTAAAATTTCTATTGGTATTAAAATTTCTATTCGTTTTTTCAAAATATCTATTGGTAATATCAAATATCTATTGGAAGTAACAAATTTCTATTGGTAGTATCAAAAATATCTATTGGTAGTATCAAATATCTATTGGAAGGCTAGCTAACACTTTTTCACTATATGTAACTGCGAATTTTCAGTTACCACTTTTTTCAACTAGCTAACACTATTTTACTATATGCAACTGAGAATTTTCAGTTGCCACTTTTTTCGACTATGTGTAACTACGATTTTCAGTTACGACCTTTTTCGGCTAGCTAAACTTTTTCTATTTCACTATAACTTTTCACTGTGTTCTGCTACTAGTCACTTCAGCTACTACCGGATACTACTGCTTGTTACTGGTAGTTCTTCCTACTACAACGTTACTGTGATTTGCCCCCATAAGGTAGACTTCGGCTATACTGTATAGAGAGCCGCTTGCCATTTTCCGATTTTGCCTCTTTATTTTTAAACATTTTCATTATGTAATTAGCACAAATCGCAATTTTTTCTATATAATGCTAATTTTTACACTAACACGCTATACACTATAAAATAGGCATTTTGGTCCTTTAACAATATGTGATAAAGGTTACTCAATATATTTACATTTAAAAAAGTTATTAATCAAAATGTATCAAACTTTCATAATAAATGTGTACATTAAATCTTTAATTTTACTATATTTATCAAATGCGTCTATTTACACAAATTATTTCTTTATTATTGCAATCTATACATCATATGCTAACTAAATATAGCTTTTTAAATATTGTTACTATGCTAACTAAATATCATATTTACAATTCTTTCAGAACACAAAAATATTCTTATTATTTTCATATAAACTATTGCGCAGTTAATTAACTTCTAGAAAGTTCCACGATATGCTGCGCTGTGATTGGTCGAAATTTTATTAAATGATTAAAGTTGTTTATATCAACTATTATTAAAAACGACATTCTATATAAGTATATTAAGAGTTGTAAACACATTGTAAAACCATATTAATACATAATTTGTTCGATTTTGTTGCTAATTTCACTTTTCAAACAAATTAATATTCTTTCATCACTTTTCGCTTAGTCTTTAAACCGTCGCGAACATTTGTACATTTACATATTTATATATATATACATATATATTAATATGTATATATTTATCTCATCTATGTACTTATATACCATTCTATATTTCTATTTTATGGCTTTAATAAAACTAATGTTATTTTTCGATATTTTTATATCTATATAGGTTACCATTGACGAAACTACAGATTCTCAAAACCGGTGCATTGGCAATGTGATTATCAGACGTCTAGATGAAGAAAATGCCAGCAAATCCTTTTTATTGGCATGTCAAGAACTTCCTAAATGCAACCACCAAGGTTCAGCAAAGCAAGGTTCAGCAATCTGTACGTAGACGCCGGACCTTACACACGTACCTAGCGTAAACTAGTTCGCAATTACTCATTAACGCGATTCTCAAACTTTTTTGTCTACCTTGTTAGTGAGCTATTAAAATATGTTCAAGTGTACGCGTTGTGACAGAGATTTCAGAGATGGGGTAAAGTGTTCCGTTTGCCAAGAACGTTTTGACTTTCCATGCGCTGGATTAACGGAAGCTGGCTACCGTAGGTTAGGCGAGGATAGAAGAAATAACTGGAGATGCACATCTTGCAAGGACGCCAAAGCTCCTAGTCCGCTAAACCTACCTTCAAAAAATACACTTTCAAAAAATACACCTTCTGTTAAGTCTCTTTCACTGGTGGACATGGAGATGATTGCTTCGGAGCTTAAAAGTTTATCTTCACAGATGAACTCACTTCCTACCTTAATAGCAAGCGTCAAGGCTATACAAGCTGATGTGGCCGACCTAAAGTCCATAAAGGCCGATATCGAAGATCTTAAGCTTATGAAGCCGGAGGTGGCTGATATGAGGACTTCATTGGAATTTGTTCAGTGTTCTGTTGAATCTTTGAATAGTAAGATCACAGATATAAATCAAGAAATCCAGAGTTTGCTGAAGACAAAAGATGATGTAGTTCAATTGAAGCAACGTCTGGAGAACTTTGAAGACTCCATGCGGGAATTTGAACAAAGGTCTCGTATGAATAACATCGAGATCAAAGGAGTGCCGATGTCACCCTCAGAAAACCTTTTCGAGATTTTTAGTAAGCTTGGAGATCATATCAATTGTGTCATCCCAAAAAATCAAATTAATTACATTGCGAGGATTCCTATGCGTAACGATAAATTAAATAAAACAATCATTATCTCAGTGCATAATAGATACCTTAAGGAGGACTTCGTAGCCGCAGCGAAGAAGCGCACCATTGTTCCAGCGGACCTGGGTTTAAGAGGTGACAATAGAATCTTTGTTAATGACCATCTTACTCTGGAAAACAAGATGTTGCTAAATAAAGCCAAAAAACTAGCGAAGGAGCGGGGGTTTGCTTATGTTTGGGTAAAGGGATGCAAAATATTTGCAAGAAAAAACCCAACGTCTCATATAATTACAATAAAATCGGAATACGATTTAAAAAAGTTTTCCTAGTCATTACAATTAGCGCTTTTATATTGTTAAAATCATCTTCCTCTTTTAACTGTGTTTTAGTTAGTTTGAGAAACGCTTGCCCTCTAACATTTAAGTTTGTCTACCTGCTTGATATCGTTATGCATTCACTTACTCCCGCTGCACACTTGTTTACTCAATCATATTATATCGCTCCACCGTCGATTTGCTTTTGCATTTTTGTATCTTTTGTTTACGCTTATAGCCTTATTGTATTATTAGTTTTTTTTTAATGTTGCCCACAAATTTAACGTTTTTTTACGCATCTTTTCAAACATATTGCTTTATTCCACCTTTCTACACTTATTACTTGTTATTATAACTAATTATGTACTAGTTTTAATGTTCAAAAATGGCGATTAATATATATTACCAAAATGTACGTGGTTTACGTACAAAAACTTCGGCCTTCTATAGAAATATTAACATAAACTCTTATGATGTTATATGTTTATCATAAACTTGGTTGAATGAAAGCGTTAAAGATAGCGAATTATTCGATGATAGGTACATAGTTTGGCGACGGGATCGAGATTACAAAAGAATTAATCAAACATTGGGGGGTGGAGTGTTAATTGCTGTTCGCCGGGACCTCTCAGCAGAAGTTCGTAGTGATTGGTGTTCGAATGCCGAGGACTTATGGGTAACATTGACACTTAAATGCCGGAATCCTAAGGTAGTGTATAAACTGCATATTTGTACGGTATATATATGTAACCAAAGCGTAATTTGTTCACTACCAACTCAGTTAACCGCATACTCCCAAAAACTTTGTGATACAATATTAAAACATCCTTGCGAAAAATTTATAATTCTTGGCGACTTTAATATGCCTAACATAATCTGGAAGTCGTGTGATCAAAACATTTCATATATACCCGAGAACATACAGGGCTCTTATCAATTTGATTTATTTGATAACATTAATATATGTAATTTATCACAATACAATTATATACATAACACAAATAATAGAATTTTGGACTTAATATTTTCTAACAGCACGTTAGCTGTTAACCACTGCGGAAACCCGCTAATACCCGAAGATACTCATCATCCAGCTCTGTGTGTGGTTGCAGAATTTATTCAACTTCACACTCTCAAAAGTCGTCCCTATACTAAATTTCTATATCAATCTGGTGATTACGATTCTATTATTTCTAAACTTGATGCCATTGATTGGCATCAAGAACTTAACTCTAAGCCGTTAGAAGATGCCTTGTTATTGTTTTATAATAAATTAGCTGACCTCCGTCAAACGTATATCCCTACTAAGACTTTTACACCAAGTTTTAAATATCCATTATGGTATAAGAAATCCCTAATTAAAATTTTGAAAGAAAAACATAAGTATCACTAGAAATATAAGAAATACGGGAATCAGTCTGACCTTCAATCATTTATTAGACTCAGAGAACAAGCCAAGACTCTGGAAAAACAAATGTTTGATACATACATTTCTAACGTTGAAAAAAATATTTGTAATAATCCTAAAGCGTTTTGGTCTTATATAAAAACAAAAAACAAAGTCAATTCATATCCCGCTGTATTACGTTTTGGAAAGAAATCATCAGATTGTGGCGCAGAAATATGCAATTTGTTTAGTGATTATTTTCAGTCAACTTTTTTAAATAGTACCCATACGTACATTAACCCAGATGTCACATCTCAAATGAACTATAATATACCATCTGATATAGGGGATATAGAGGTCACATTTGATGAAGTATTTAAGCTTTTGAAATCACTTGACTTAAGTAAATCAGCTGGGCCTGATAACATACCAGCTGTTTTTATCGTGAGGTGCGCCAAGAGCCTTGCGTTTCCTTTGACTATATTATATCGGCGTTCTTTGTCAGAAGGTTTAATGCCAAGAATCTGGAAATCGGCTTATGTCACACCAATTTACAAAAAAGGCCCAAGAGATCAAGTTGACAACTACCGACCTATTTCCAAATTATGTCTATTTGCAAAAGTGCTTGAAAGAATTGTCTATGATCAACTATATGCTGCCCTAAAACATACACTTAGCTTTCAACAACACGGTTTCGTCAAGGGTCGGTCAACAACTACTAATCTTATATTATGTACTGACTACTTATCAGAACATATGTCAGAGCCCTCACAAGTCGATGTGGTCTACACAGACTATAGCAAATGCTTTGATCGAATAGACCATTTGCTATTATTACACAAAATTCAATCAGTAGGAATACGAGGTAATTTATATCGGTGGTTCACCTCTTACGTCCAAAATCGGAGTCAGACAGTTGCCCTAAATGGTTACACCTCTAAGGCCATGCCAATACCTTCTGGTGTCCCACAGGGCTCCTTGCTAGGGCCTTTACTCTTTAATATTTTTGTTAATGATATCATCATATGTTTCAAGTACTCAAAAATCCTACTTTAGGCCGATGATATGAAAATATTAAGTCCAATAACGTCCCTCGAAAGCGCATATCATTTGCAAGAAGACTTGGGTAGGTTTGAAAATTACTGTCTATACAATAAATTAGACTTAAATGTCTCCAAATGCTATATTTGCACATACACACGGAAGACTAAACCTATAATTTTCCGCTACACTATAAAACATATAGATATAACTAGAGTCAACACTATCCGCGATTTAGGAGTAATTTTTGACTCCAAATTACTGTTTAATAAACATATTGACAATATTATAAACAAAGCCTCTAAAGCTCTTGGCTTTATCTTAAGAATGTCTTCTGATTTCAATTCTATTAAAACCTTCAAAATTCTTTACTGTGCTTTCGTACGAAGTCATCTAGAGTATACCTCTCAAGTATGGAATCCTACCTATAATATTTACTCTACGCGTATTGAACGGATTCAGAAAAAATTTCTTCGCTATCTTCAATTTAGAGTTAAGATCTTTCTACCGAATTACACAACACGTTGCCGAAAGTTTCACATTTTGCCGCTATATGAAAGAAGGCGCATAGCGGATCTATCTTTTCTAATTAATATAGCAAATAGCACGATCGACTGTCCCGAACTGTTGGAGCAAATACGTTTACAAGTTACCGGGAGTAAATACAAACTACAGGCAAAATTCTTATTTAATAAGAGTGAGCAAGTGTTTCAATGACGTGGCGAAAATACAAAATGTAGACTTATTTAACACCTCTAGCAGGCAGCTTAAGCGTCTACTGAGTAATAAGTTTTTCGTTTACTGATGTGTATTACATATACCATGCATTGTTATTTATTTCATTTTACTTTTTAAATCATCTTTTATTGTGTCATTAAATCTACGTCTACGTCACTTGTGCAATTTTTCTCTGTACTTTATTTATAAGTGGGAACTTTTAATTGGCCTTCAGTACATTTTTTTATTTTTATTGTTCATACATTTATAACCAGCTGTAAGTTCACCTAAAATTGTAATAAATAAAAAAAAAAAAGCTTTTTAATGACGCAGTGAGTGTTTTGGGGCCTGATGGAGTTAAATATGAACAAGTTTTCTTGCTACTAAGCGATGCTGCTCCTTATATGGTAAAAGCTGCAGGTGATCTACAAGTTTTGTATCCAAAAGTGATTCATGTGACGTGCTTGGCTCATGGTATAAATAGATTAGCTGAATGCATAAGGTCTCAGTTTAAAAAGATCGACAGTTTAGTATCAAACGTAAAGAAAATTTTTTTGAAAGCAACAAGCAGGATCTCATAATTTAAAGAGATGTATCCCGATATTTCTTTACTGCTGCCCAGTATTACACTGAATTACACTGAAATCAAAACTATTATTTTTGAATTGGAAAACGAAGCTGCTACTATTTCAATCTCAAAAGAATTTCTCCAAGATGACACTCTACGTAACGATTTGCTTTACATAAAAAGCAATTATTCCTTTTTATCACACCAGATAAAGGTACTCGAAAATTCTTCCACTTCTCTAAATGATAATTTGAAGATTATCGAAAATATCGAAAAAAAAGGTTTAGATTCAGAAGGTCCCGTTGCTGAAGTAGCGAGGCAAAAATTAAGCTACGTACTAAAAAACAACAAAGGATTTCATACCCTAGAGAAAATTAACAGCATGCTGTGTGGAACATTAGAAGGCACCATAGATGTGCCCTACTCACTTGCAAAGAATTATGCTCCAATCACATCCTGTGATGTCGAAAGATCATTCAGCCAGTACAAAGCATTATTTCGTCTAAACAGAAAGGGTTTTAATTTTGAAAATTTAAGAAAACGCGTAATTATATACTGTAATTCAAATAATAATGAAACAGAACCTAAGTAAAATTGTATTTTTTGGTTTTTCTTAATAAAGACTCGTTTAATGTATAATGTCGTTATCTTTTATTGCACATATTTTTCCCATATTTTAGGATTTTCAGTCTATGTTATATGTACATATTTTGATATTTTCCATACATATTTATCCGGGCCCTAGTAATAATTATAAGGTTTTTAGTGAAAATTTGTGTGTAATTACGTATAATTATATTATACATAATTGTTTTACGGCTCCATGGCGCAGTGGCTTAGCAATAAGTTGCTGCGCTGGGGACCGCGGGTTCGAATCCCGCACGGAACAATGTATGGCCTACAAATAATTGTTCCGGGTCTAGATGTTAGTCCTTGTGTAATTTGTGTTTGTAAACTGCCTCCACGATACAGGAGAAAATCCTAGAGTGGTAAAAAAAAAATTAATGCGCTTAAGGCATGCACAATTGGATTTACCAGTAGTTATATAAAATTCTAAACAACATATTGTTTTGGTCGTAGCTAAATGCTTTTTGAAACACAAAGCGCGCACACAACGAACGAATTGTGCTCTTACTCTTTTGCTGGCTCACTTGATCCATTCATGTACAACAGCCCAAACTCGATTTAGGAAGATCCAATTCGAATCAACTCGAGTTAGTAACTCGAGTTGACCCATAGATTACTGTATATATATACTATAGAAAAGTTGACCTATCACTACTGTCTATATTGTATTTAATAAGCATGGGCGTTTTCAGTGTTTGGCTGCAACGGTTATATAACCGATATTTAGTTTTCATATCGTTATTGAAAACCGTTTTCAAATATCGATATCAGTAGTAATGGTTTGCTATTGAATGCGCAAACGACAACCGAAACATAACCGAAAACTAAAACCAGTGCCACATTTATTTTACGAATTACTTCGATTATTTTAGTTTAGAAGTCAGAGGCTCTATTTATAATTTTAGATGTAATATTTAGATATGTATATTAATATATAATTTATGATTGTTATGCAGTAATATAGTATTGTTACGAGCTTGGGGTTCGAGACAATTAAAAACTGCCGATTGAATTACCAAAATTGACACTTTAATTACACAACACTAATTACAATCTAAAACCACACTAATAATAAAACACAATCACTTTAGTTCGCAGTTATTTCGCTTCGAAGTATTCTCTTGTATCGCCAATTCAATACTGCCTTGGTCGTGGTCTATACCGGCCTTATATAGGGCCTCAGATAGTTTTTTTTTTTTTTTTTTTTTTTTATAGAATAGGGGGCAAACGAGCATGCGGCTCACCTGATGTTAAGTGACTACCGCCGCCCATGAATAACCGCAACACCAGGGGAATTGCAGATGCGTTGCCGGCCTTTTAGAAAGGTGTAAGCTCTTTTCTTGAAGGTTCCTAAGTCGTATCGGTTCGGAAAATTCGCTGGTGGTAATTGATTCCACAAAGAAGTTGTGCGAGGGAGAAAACTTCTTCTAAATCGCACAGTGGTGGACCGCCAATCATCCAGATGGTATGGATGGTAACGCGAGTTTTGTCGCGACGTGCGATGGTGAAATTGAGCGGCTGGAATTAGTCCGAACAATTCCTCAGAGCACTCCCCGTGATAGATGCGATAAAATACGCAAAGAGATGATACATCTCTACGCAGTGCCAGTGTATCGAGCCGATCAGAAAGAACTCGGTCGTCGACGATTCGAATCGCTCTGCGCTGGATGCGGTCAAGTGGAAGGAGCTGGCACTGGGGTGCCCCGGCCCAGAGATGAGAACAGTATTCCATGTGGGGCCGAACTTGCGCTTTGTAAAGTTGCAAGCGATGTGCCTAAAATGAAATACTGTCTCGCTCTGCTGAGCACGCCAAGCTTTTTAGAGGCCAATTTGGCCTTCCCTTCCAAGTGACCACGAAACTGCACGCTATTCGATATGTCGACGCCAAGGATTCCGATACTGGCTGAGGCAGCAAGGGGAGTGCCTTGAAACTGAGGAGATACGACAAAGGGGTTCTTTTTAGCGGTAAACGCGCAAACTTGTGTCTTCTGGGGATTGAACTGGACTAGATTTAGTCGGCCCCAATCCGAGACTTTGTTAAGCAAAGACTCGACTTCAGACACAAGTTTGTCCCGGTACTCGGCGACGTTTTCCCGAGAAATATTGGCACGGCCGGTATATAAGGCATCCCCAGTGCTGTCGTCTGCATAGCAATGAATGCTACCAGTTAGCAACATATCATTGATATGCAGGAGAAACAGCGTTGGTGATAGCACGCAGCCTTGTGGAACACCAGCGTTGATAGGCTTGTAATCAGAGCATGCACCGTCTACTACGACCTTGATGCTCCGATCAGCAAGGAAACTGGTGATCCATTTGCACAATTTCTCGGGAAGCCCATAGGAAGGAAGCTTCGAAAGAAGCGCCTTGTGCCAGACCCGATCGAAGGCCTTCGCTATGTCCAAACTAACGGCCAATGCCTCCCCCTTGGACTCTACTGCCTCCGCCCATCTATGAGTTAAGTAAACTAAAAGATCACCTGCTGATCGACCCCGACGAAAACCGTACTGACGGTCACTGATCAGCTGGTGATCCTCAAGGTACCTCATGAGCTGGCAGTTTATAATGGATTCCATTATTTTGGAGAACAAGGAGGTGATGGCGATAGGCCTGTAGTTGGACGGGTCTGAGCGGTCGCCTTTTTTAGGGATCGGGTGGACCAAAGCTGTCTTCCATGAATTCGGGACTACGCCTTGGGAGTAGGAGTACCGGAAAAGACGCGTTAAAACCGGTGCCAACTCCGGAGCACACGTCTTCAGCACAATGGGAGGGACTCCATCAGTTTCCAGAACCTTCTACTGTAGCGACATCTAGAATGTTCGAGTACATATCGGTCCCGAAATTTCTAAAAGGATCTTGACTCTCCTAGTTCTGCTACTCGACACTAGAGGGCGCTAGTGGTAACTAGTGTTGCCATGTACAAAACATTAATAGTGGCGCGCAACACTGCCCCCTCCTAAGACATACTCGTCCCGAGCATGATTGGCTCCATAATAACGCGCCGGTCGATCCACATGAACGATCTAGGAGTACCTCTGGTATCCAGTAGGTTACGTCATTGATCCTTGTCACAATCCAGTACGGTCCGTCCCATTTAGCTTGAAGCTTAGGAGATTTCCCTTCGCTGCGAACTGGATTGTGTAACCACACAACCTTCGTCAAACCCCTTGTTGTTCATTTTGCGGTCATACCGTGTTTTCATCTTCTCAGACGTTTGCTGGCCCGTTTGTCTGACGTGCTCATAAATGTCATTAATTTTGTTCCGCAAGTCATTTCCATAATCGGTTATACTGCGTGGGGCATCAGGTGGTATTCCGGTGATCAGGTCTGCGGGCAGCCGTAATTCTCTCCCAAATTTTGTTAAAGCTGGTGTCACTGATGTACTTTCGTGAACAGCGATTCGATATGACAACAAAAACGGTTGTGTGTGCCTGTCCCAGTCTCGTTGCCGTTTTTCCACAACTTTTGCTAGGTACCTCTCCAATGTCTGATTAAAACATTCTGCCATCCTATCAGATTGTGGGTGGTAAGAAGTTGTTCGTGTTTTATGAGTACCCATAACTCGGCAATTTCCTGGAATATTTGAGACTCAAAATTCCTTCCTTGATCGCTGTGAATCTAATCTAGTTCATGAAGACAGAAGACTTCATGAACTAGTTTATCTGCAACTGTTGAAGCTTCTTGATTTGGAATGGCGAAGACTTCTGGCCACTTAGTGAAGTAATCCATCACAACCATGAAATACTTGTTACCACTTTCACTTTCCGGAAACGGCCCCGCAACGTCAATGGCTATCCTCTCCCATGGTGCACCAACATTGTACAATTTCAATGCGTCTCTACTACGAATTTGAGGTCCCTTTACAGCCGCACAACTTGTACATTTGTGGCACCAGTCCTCGACATCGTCACGACAGTGGACCCAGTAAAACCGTTCTCGGATCTTCAATAGAGTTCGTTTAGCTCCCAGGTGGCCTCCTGAAGAACCACTAAGCTGTAGAACATCCGGTACTTTAGCCTTAGGGACAACCATTTGCAAATGACACCTGTCTCCCCGACCATTTTCCCATTTACGGCACAGGACTCCATCCTAAATCAGCAAGCTGTCCCATTGGGCCCAATAGCTTTTCGTGGTCGAACTCATTGCTGAGACGTCGCTCCACTTGGGTTTAGGAGCACTGGCCTTCATCCATTCCAGAATCGGCTTACTGTCCGAATCTTCCTGCTGTGCATGTTGTAGACTGTCCTTCCACTCATTGCTGAGCTGGTCTGTCCTGAGTATCTTCACAGATACCAATTCCTTACCCTCTTGCCTAGTACAATGCTTGCAATCTTCAGGGCAAGGTCTTCCTGACAATGCATCTGCATTGCCATGAGATTTCCCGCTGCGATGTTCGATCACAAAGTCGTATTCCTGCAGTAATCAATCCATCTCGAAACTTGTCCTTCCGCGTTTTTGAACTGCAATAGCCATTTCAGTGCAGCATGGTCAGTTCGTAAGTGGAATTTCCGTCCCAGAAGATATTTGCTAAAATGCTGCAAGGACTTTACCACAGCAAGCAGTTCCCGTCTTGTGACATAATAGTTCCTTTCCGGCTTTGACAACGACTTGCTGAAGTACGCTATCATAATCTCTTGATCACCATTCCGTTGAGACAACACACCGCCAAGTCCTATATCACTTGCGTCTGTGTCAACTATAAATTCCTTGCCCGCATCAAGGTACCCCAAGATAGGTGTTTGGCATAGACGGTTCATGAGCTCCTGGAATGCAATATCGCAACTTTCATCCCATCAGAAATGTCGCTTCTCCTCGGTTAGCTTGTGCAGAGGTTTGGCTATATCTGCAAAGTTCTTCACAAATCGCCGATAATAAGAGCACAAACCCAAAAATGCTCTAACCTGTGTCTTGTTTTTTGGAACCGGCCAATCCTTGATAGCGGCAATTTTCTCTGGATCCGTGCAGATACCTTCTTCCGACACTACATACCCCAAAAGCTAACTTGCCGTTTGAATAGTGAGCACTTCTTCGGACTCAACTTGAGGTTGGCACTCTGGATCTTCATGAGCACGCGTTGCAGGTTTTGAAGGTGTTCCTCAAACGTACAGCCTAAGATGATGATGTAATCCAAGTAGACCAGACAGGCATCTCCAATTAGCCCGGTAAGTACAAGCTCCATCAACCTTTCAAACGTTGCTGAAGCATTGCACAATCCAAACGGCATGACTTTAAATTGCCACAGACCCTTTCCTGTGGAGAATGCAGTTTTCTCCTTGTCCTTAGGGTCAATTTCAACCTGCCAGTAGCCATTTTTCAGGTCCAGCGTACTAAACCACTTTACGCCTGTAAGCATGTCTAGCGTGTCATCAATTCTTGGCAAGGGATAGCTGTCCTTCTTCGTAACGTCGTTCAGGCGGCGGTAGTCAACACAAAACCGCATGCTGCCGTCCTTCTTCTTTACCAGCACCACAGGTGAATCTCGGCGAAAGAACAATCTTCTTAAGGCTGTACACATTCCCTGGTAACGTCCCTTCCACGAAAAGTTCCTTTTGTCTACATTTCAAAACACCTTGCTTAACGTCGATCTCACAACAATTCTTCCTCATAAAGTCTAGGCCCAGGATGCAGTCGTCCATTATATCAACCACGATGACATTATGCAGGTAGATCATGTTGCCTAGCTTCAACTCCATCTCCTTCCCTCCACGGACGGGTATGCGCTGACCGGTGCCTGTCACCAAATTAATGCGTTCTCGGTTGTAAGCGGAGTCCCCAAGGAACTGACTTATAAATTGGGAACTGACAACCGTGCGAGAGGCTCCAGTGTCTATGGTCAGTTTACACGGCGTTCCGTTGAACTCGCCTTTGATGACTAGGCTGTTCCCATCATGGGTTTGTGAGATCGAAATCCTTGGGGCTCTTTTAACATCAGCCAGCACCCGCCCCGCAGTCCTGGCTTTTACTCGTCTCCCTGCTGCTGCTGGGCGGTGCTATTAGCCGCACTACCCTCTCGAGATCGATCACCTTCCCTATCTACAGTTCGTTTAGGGCAGCTGGATCGAAGATGGCCCTTTTCCTCACAACCGTAGCACCTAGGGCGTTAGCCGTTATTGCGGTCCCGAACTGTAGCTTCTGCAACCTCCCTGATACGATGGGAACGATGATCCTGCCACACGGCTTCCACCTCCAGTGCATGGGTCAAGGCGTCCTTAAGCTTCACGTAGTGCCCGAGCCTCACAGCAGCTCTGACTTTAAGGTCACGGATGCCGTCGATGAATGTCTGCACCAGGTTCCCTACAATGAGCGCAGGTACAGACTGGTATGCTTTTCGAACCAGCTTCTCCACCTCAAATCAAATCAATCAAATCAAAATTATTTATTCGTTTTCACAGGTATTAAGGTTGACAATATTATATCTTTTAAGTATCTCCGTGAAATGCTTTTTACAGCATACGAATGTATATGTATATTCACACATTATAAAGTTAAACATAAATGAAAAATCAAAATAACAGTTAAACTAAGTAAACAAAGTCAAAAAACACAAAATTATTTAATTACATATCGCACCCTTAGAATTATACAGACCCAATACGAAATTTTGATATTTTGACTTTCCGCCACAGAACGACCTAAAATGATCATCTGCATCGACTTTAATTAAAACAGTGACCGATTTATGAGTAGAAAAGGACAAACACAATTTAGGTCTTTATCGCTCGGCCCCTGTTCCCCGCGCCCTCTTGGGTTTAGAGTGACGCAATCAGTAATGTGCCACGCGTCATAAGTGAAAGTCGCTAAGTGTTTGTTTTTGTGGAGACCTAATCCGGATTCAGTCTTTACATTACTGAAAAATAAGGTATGTACACGTTACTTTTTTGATAAAGTAAAGACCCATTTTGTAATAAGTCCATATTATAGCAAAAATGTTAATTGTGTACAAGACTTATTATTGTTTAAGTCCATCTTTAACTGAAAATATATAACAATTAAAGACTCAATCATCCTTTGGTCGTTATAATTATAAAATACTGTGCATTATTAAAACTTATTCGTGATTAAGGCTTTCTTGTAATAATAGTTATAGTTTTTAAAAGTCGTATTTATCGAAATGTCTATCTGGTAATGAAATTGTTTTGTTTCTTCTATTGAATGTGACAATTGTAGTTCATATTTTTTTTACATTTTAGGTGAAACAAGTCAAAACATGAAGAGAAGAGTAGATTATATTTTAGAAAAAGTCAATTTCAACAGTAAAAACCAGGTAAACATGCTTTTTTCGTATTATTATTCTTGTTTTTACCAAAACAGTAATTATTTTAGGCAATAACCTTCTTAATACCCTTATTTCTAGGCACATGCTAATAATAATACGGAAACATCACAAAATTACCAAGATAACTGTGTTCGTATGGTATGTACCTTGGTAATATATTTGAAACAGATTGGTGTTGAATTGATGGATATCAAAAATTAAAATATTATATTTTCAGACTGACACAAACAAAGAAAATAATATTCTGCCATTTAATTCATCTTGTGAGGAGTATCCAGATAAATTATCATTCAACCAGATGGACCAAATTGTTGCAGAGGTAAATACACACATCAATAGTGTCAATAGATATTATTTTATTGTATTAACATCAGAACTTAAAACTATTCGCGGTATAGAAAAAGTTTGGACTTACGTGGGTAAAATCGTAAAGAACAGCTGCTAGTATTAGGTAGTTACCAAACAGTTTTCTCAAGGTAGATGTTGTGTGTACTTTGACTTTTATACTGACATAATTTAATCCAATTTTTATTTGTTAAAAATTTACTTTCAGGTTATCCCCGAAACAAATAATAAATCATTAACGGATAGCCCCTCCATAATAGAAAACTCTCCGAACCGATCCATTCCATACTTTGACCCAAAGGTGCTTTGTGTAGTTGACACCAACAAGGTGGGTTTTCAATTGACAATATAAATATTATGTGGTTTATTTCTTCTTCTATTTAAATGAAATAATATTATTTCCAGCTACAAACGAAAATGCAAATCCAGGAATTTACTATAGTTTTAGAACCAGAGTTCAACAATTCTGAACAGTCACATGTACCTAATAATGAAAAAGAATACCCACCGTCAAAAAAGTCATATCGTGATTCGTCAACATCATCTGACAGTACTACTTCTTCTTCAAGTAGATCTTCATCATCATCGTCGTCGTCTTCTGATGCTCACACCAATTTTTACAAAAATATATCAAATACCAATTTATCCATAGATGGGCCTTCCACATCCAACTTGACGGGTCAAGTTACACGCAAAAATACAAAGAATTACCATCAGTCACCCATTCATTCAAATGAAAGTGATGTAGACTTAAGTGACACAGACCCAACTTATACTCTTGATAGCTCTCGGTCTAGAAGAACTACTCGTTTATCCAGCAGCAGTTCTTCATCTTCAGCCAACACTGCCCTCGAATTGACTAAAACTTCCGAGACAACTAGAAAATCAAGAAAACGCATACGAAATCCATCAAACTGGAAGCAAAATGTTGCAAAAATCTTAAGAAACACTGGAAAGGCTTATGTTTCATGTACCACTAAAAAGGAAGTATCGGCCCGTGTCATTAAAGATGCTTGTAAATGTAGACTTAAATGTCCAGAAAACGTCGTTGATGCAGACAGAAAAACATTGTTTGATAAATATTGGTCATTAGGCAACATAGAACTACAAAGATCTTTCATACGAAATTGCATGATGGAAATTAAGCCAAAGTACAAATATAGTAATTCTGCTAAACCTAGACTACCGAATAATGCATTTTATTTCACAATAAATAACACCCGAATTCGGGTATGTAAGACTTTCTTCATTAATACTCTGGGAATATGCGATCGTCAGATCAGAACAGTAAAAAAGAAGACTGACCCACAAGGATTCTTAACTACCGATATAAGAGGTAAGCACGTGTCAAGACAGCCTATAGATCCAGCACTCATTGAGAATATTAAACAACACATAAACTCAATTCCAAGAATAGAGTCTCATTATTTGAGAGCAGCAACTACCAGAGAATACATCAGTGGGGATAGAACCTTAACTGACATCTGGAAAGATTTTGATAAAATTCAAAAACAAGAAGGTAAACCTTCTTGTGACTATTGGATCTACTATGAAATTTTTACAAAACAATTTAATATTAGCTTTTTTCAACCGAAAAAAGACAGATGTGATTTATGTCTAGACTATGAAGTTGCAACGGTGGATCAGAAAACAAAAATAAAAGATAAATACGATGAGCACCTTAAAGAAAAAAATTTGTGTCGCCAAGAAAAACGCCTAGACCGCCAAAACATCAATGATACATTCATTTGCTCTGTTTATGATTTACAAGCTGTCACGCAGTGCCCTACTGGAGACATTTCTTCGTTTTTTTACAAATCAAAACTCAATTGTCTAAATTTCACTATAGTAGAATTAATGGCTAAGAAATCAGAAATACCTAAAAAACGTAAAATAAATGAAGAATACAATGAAAATGACATAGGTGCTTACAGTGACGTGTACAGCTACTTTTGGGATGAAGTGCAAGGAAACAGGGGAGCTAATGAAATAGGATCGTGTATTCTAGACTATCTGAACAACTTAAATGAACAAAATCCGAATAAAAATCTTCATGTCACTTTTTATTCGGATAATTGTTGTGGACAGAATAAAAATAAGTTTATAATAACGTTATATTCTTATGCAGTTACTCATTTTGAAAACATAGAAACCATCAGTCACAAATACTTCATCAAGGGACATTCACAAAACGAAGGAGATAATGTTCATAGCTTGATTGAGAAAGAAGTTAAAAAAAACAAAAAAGGTGGACCAATTTATGCACCATATCAATATGTAACTCTGATTAAAAATGCTCGTAAGAATGGGAAACCTTTTACCGTTAAAGAGTTAACATACGAGTTTTTCACTAATTTAAAGGCACTTCAAGAACTATGGGGATATAATTTTAATGAAGATGATGATAAAAACAATGTTATTTTGAATGACGTAAAAGTTTTGCAGTTTAATAAAGCCGAACCATTTATCTTCTCTTATAAAACTTCGTACAGTCAAAGTGAGTTCAAAAAGGTTAACATAAGGAACAAACGTAAGAAAATGATGAGTCCAGAAGAAATAACTGTGACCAAAGCATTTTCACAAAGACTAGAGTTAAGTGAACGTAAGAAAAAAGACTTGCGCGATCTCATTAATAAAAACCTAATTCCTAGTTATTACGCAGATTTTTATAACTCTATACTGTAATTTTTTGTTATTATGAAAGTTTTAAGTATTAAGTTCCAAACAAGTTCCTTAATGATTGTGATAAGCTTATCATAATATATACCTAATTATTAGGCAATTTATATCAAAGATTTAAGTTTTGTTATGCAAAGTTTATTGATAAATTATTTACCATGGTTGTGATGATTGATAATAATAATAAAAGTAGATTTTTAAGCTAAAACTCTTTGTAAGTTTAATTTTTAATAAAACATTTTATTCCTTATGTTGTTTTTTATGTGTGGAATATAAAATTACCTTAAATAATTTAACTATTATAGTGTCTTATTTGTGAATGTAACGCATCTTACAGTCAAAACTCAGAAATATAGAGACCTAAAACATAAAAGGTCTTTTTAAAAAATCCAATTTCATTAAAATAAAAACCTATAATGCACCATGATTTAAAAATGTTTTAAATATTATAGTTTTATTTATTTAATTTCATTAATTTATTTAAAATCATCTAGGTAAATAACTAAAGTTTGATATAAAAATAACAATTTCATAATATTTTCAAAATTCAGTCGAATATCTTTTGTTTTCTACAAGATTGATAGACTTGTGAATCTTTATGCCACGCTTACCAAAAATTTGCGTTTCCTTGTTGAGTCTCTATAATTCTAAGGGTGCGATATCATTTAAATCATTAGTAAATAGGAATTCATTGACATTATAATAACATTTATTTATAAGAAAATTACTTTAAATTTTTGCGCATTATAACATTTTATATGATCAGGTAATTTATTATATAATTTAAGGGCCATTTCAACAACACTTTTTTTTCATAACTTAGTTTTACATACACTTGACACTTTAATTATAAAACACTAATTATAACTTAAAACCACACTAATAATAACTGATCACTTTAATTCGCAGTTATTTCGCTTCGAAGTATTCGCTTATATCGCCAATTCAATACTGACCCGGTCGTGGTCTATATCGGCCTTATATAGGGCCTCAGATAGTTTCCAGAACCTTCTACTGTAGAAACATCTAGTATGTTCGAGTACATATCGGTCCCGAAATTTCTAGAAGGATCTTGACTATCCTAGTTCTGCTACTCGACGCTAGAGGGCGCTAGTGGTAACTAGTGTTGTCATGTACAAGACATTAATAATAGTACTATTTTAGTTCATTAACTTTATTGTACATTTAACTAACTTCAACTCGCCTAATTCAACATTCCTCGTAGAATCGAACACGTGATACCCGACACAAGCAACGGACAGTAGTTCAAAGTTCAACACTCAATGTCCCGGATTCATTTATCACCAAATTACAAATAGGGAACTAACGCGATCTCTTCATGAGTCACACGGTTCAGCGTTACAAACACAACTAAGTACCTTCGTTCGATACTTCGATATTAAACACCACGCCGCAATAAGAATTCAAAATTAACCTAGCTGACACGTAAACTAGCTACCAAGTCAACACACAAAAGGCTCTTAACGCGACGGTATAATTAAACGATGATTTCCAAACAATCAACCGGGAGACGCCCTTGATAAATGAATGCGCGGTTCGAATTCTAGACCGTATAACTACTCGGCGCGCGCATGCGAAATTCCACGTCACCCGAGCAAGTTAAATATTGCAAAATGCACTTCAACACGCCATCTCTATATAATTTGTACAACTACTTTCAAGGAAGTTACTTTAATAAGTCAAACACAATACAAGCCTCTTGTCAACAACTTAAAACCTAGACAACCTAAACCGAGGCGGTTTTCACAAAACCCCAATTACGTAGCGAAGTAACACGCACTAAATCTAACAATCTAGACCATACACCGGTCGCGCGAAACTTCTGCAGCGATAACCGAGATACGCTGATTAACTGCACCGCTGCCAGCGAGCTACTGTTTGACCGACCCAGCTGCCGCTAGCAACCAACTCCCGCCAACCGCCCACTCGTCTAACCGGTTATGAACGCCGTATCGAGCCGAGCGCCCCCTGGCGTCAAATCTTGAAACCGGCGTTTGGGCCCGAACAAAGGGGTTTGACGAAGGTTGTGTGGTTACACAATCTAGTTCGCAGCGAAGGGAAATCTCCTAAGCTTCAAGCTAAATGGGACGGACCGTACCGGATTGTGACAAGTATCAATGACGCAACCTACCAGATACAGAAAGGTGCCAGAGGTACCCCTAAGATCATCCATGTGGATCGACTGGCGCGTTATTGTGGGGCCAATCATGCTCGGGACGAGCATGTCTTAGGAGGGGGCAGTGTTGCGCGCCACTATTAATGTCTTGTACATGGCAACACTAGTTACCACTAGCGCCCTTTAGTGTCGAGTAGCAGAACTAGGAGAGTCAAGATCCTTCTAGAAATTTCGGGACCGATATGTACTCGAACATTCTAGATGTCGCTACAGTAGAAGGTTCTGGAAACTACCTGAGGCCCTATATAAGGCCGGTATAGACTACGACCGAGTCAGTATTGAAATGGCGATATAAGCGAATACTTCGAAGCGACATAACTGCGAACTAAAGTGATCAGTAGTACAATTGTATTTTATTATTAGTGTGGTTTAAGTTGTAATTAATGTTCTGTGATTAAAATGTCAATTTTGGTAATTCGATCGGCAGTTATTTTTAATTGTCTGGAACCCCAAGCTCGTAACACTATTATAAGTATTACCATTCCAGAATTCCATACGTACCATTATTAAAAAACATAACTTACTCAGTTTGGAATTTAGACGATCGCTTATTATGGCCATGATGCTGCATGGGTTGTGTAATAATAGGTTTGACTGTAGTTATATGACCAATAAGTTATATTATATTGTACCGAGAACTGTAATTCGGCGCGCAGTGTGAGCACCTCGGTTGTTTTACACCGTGAAGTGTAAAACAAACGCTGGAGCGCGGAAACCCCTCCGCCGCCTCTTAGATAATAATAATATACACTTCACAGAATGTGATATTTTTCTCTGTCATCTTTAAAGTTTAAAAGAATGATAACTAAGTTGCTAACTGACTTTTTTTTTATAGGATCGGGTGACAAACGAGCACACAGTCCACCTGATGGTAAGTGGTTACTGTGACCCATAGACATCTACATCTATCCTCAATAAAGGCTCAAGATGCAGATGCGTTGTCATCTGTGAGGACTAAGATGGAATGCCTCTTTGCCGGTAAAAAGGGTCTCCGGTTCTCTACACTCACCATACGAAACACAGCAGCGTTAAGCTGCTATTTTACGCTCGTTTTCTGAGAGCGTGGTCCTTCCCCGGTCGAGCCGACCCATTCGTGCTACAACCATTGATGACCAATAACCAATGATTTTTCGGTTTCATATAGGGTAGAATGGGGGTAATGGCGGTCACTTAAGCAAAAATTAATACACAGCCAATATAAATCAACATATCTTTAATATAATTATTCTACTATCAATGGCACTTTAATTCAGATCACTAGTAATCACAGTTTTGGTATAATAAGCATTTAAAAAAAACGTGTTTGACTGGTATTACACGCAATGTAAGGTAAAACCAGTCAGCTGTTGGTTAATACCAGTCAAGCTTAATGGGAGCATAAATCACATTTATAATCTTTTGCAGAGTCACGTCCAGAGCATTCCGAGTGGGCCCAACGTCCACACAGTACACATCTGTAGCACAACACGTTGTCTCGTCCATAGTTATCTCAGATTATACATCTGTTCCCGACATCATCTAAATCCGTGTCATCGTCTTCGTGTAAATCTGTAATCTCTATTTCAGAGTTTGAAGTACTGTCGTCGTTCATAGACTCATTCTGTAATACTTTCCTCTTCACTCCTTTCAATTCTATACCTTTCTTCAAATTCTTTTTCATTCTTGTTGGTTTTTTACGAATATTTTGTTTTTGCTATCCAGATCATCACTTATATCACTTTCATCTTCACTATAATCCATCTTCTTCACTTTTTTCACCTTTGTAGTTTTCATTGTTCTCTCTTTTTTTAATGTAATATTTTTCTTTATTTCCACTGTTTTATTTTTCTTTTTTTCAACTTTTATTTGAGCTTTTGCTAATTTTGTTAACTTTTTTTGCTCTTTCTCAAATAAAACTATTTTATTCGAAGTTCCTGTTATTCCTGTAGCATGTTGTTTTTCTGTTCGGATTTTATTGGCAAAGGAAGAAGATGCTTCACAATAACTTTTTCAATATTTTCAATATGAGTTTTGACTGAAGGTATTCCATATGTTGAGGGAATAGGATTGTAATATTGACATTGGACTTGGTTTCATCTGCAGCTGGTGGTGTTACATTATGCAAATCAATATAAGAGATATCGTCAATTGTGGAGTCTAGGTTTTCGAAATCTAGGTCGATCTGTGGAATGGCAGGCGAAAGCGTTGCGTTACGTGATGTAACATGAGGCATGTCAGAAGGAGACATGGCATCGTTGTGATCATTTAAGTTGGGTTGAGAGATTTGTAAGGTTGCTTTTGAATCGTTAAGCAGAGATGGGGAATCTTGTATTCGATTATCATGATCGCACCTTTCTACACCAAGAAGTTCGCTATTGTTCATTTTCTATCAGCTGATTCTGAAGTTTTGCTGAAGTTGTGCTTGATGCTATTTCTTTCTGCGTACTTAAAAGCCATCTTCCTTATTTCTATAGCAGTACACCCGTATAATGTATTCACAAGCAGTCTAATTTGAGAGGCTATACTTTCTTCTTGTTCTTTGGTAAAGGTAGTATTTCTTTCCAGTTGCGGAGTATCCAAATTTTTATTTTTCAGCCTCTCTTGTAGAGTAGAAAATGGAATGCCAGTACATCGGGCGGCTTCTCTTATCGGCTTTCCATCTTTAACTAGTTTAAAAGCAGCTTCCAATGATTTTTTGCTCTATTTCGCCTTTTTGTGCGCTTTTACATGTTTTGGCAGCATTTTGAAACTACCCTGAAACAATAAAAAACTAAAAGTTTTAATGACACTGACTATTTAAATTGAAAACTTCACAAAAAATTGATGTGGGTGTGTGAGTAATGCCGGTCAGCCATGACCGGTATTACCCGATGATTGATATTTCTAAATGTTTAAAATTTATTTAAAAATCTGCAGGATAATCTACAAAGATGTGAAATCATCTTGCGCACAAAGAGTTAGGCAACACTAATATTAATTTTACCTTTGAAAACTATCGAGTAAAATTTACTTACTTCTTATTTTCGGACCGCAAAATTTTACAACAAAGTGGCGCGAAAACTTTCGACGTGTCTTCGTCCCAAACGCATGCATGGAACTGAACGGGGTTCGGCGCTCCTGCGAGGGAATAGTCACGCCACCCGCTTTGTATGTGTGTGTGCTTATAATCACTGTAATGCCTCCTCTACACTACTCACGAAGTAGATCGAAGTTGGATGAGGCGAATAGTGTAGAGAGGTACTTCGATTCACTTCGTTCAACAGTGGTAGAGCCACGCGGCAGCTTTTACTGTCGCACGGATGGGCCGGCTCGAACCGGGGTACCACGACCTCACAGAAAACCAGCGTGAAGTAACCGTTTACCTCTGCGTTTCGCTTGGTGAGTGCAGGTGGCCGGAGGCCCTTTTTACTGGAAATGAGGCATTCCATCTTAGTCCTCACGGGTGACAACGCATCTACATTTTGATTTGTAATAGAGGATAGATGTAGTTGTCTATGGGCCGCAGCAACCACTTACCATCATGTGGACTGTGCGCTCGTTTGGCACCCTTATCCTATAAAAAAAAACCTCGCTTCGCCTCGTTCGACTTCCAATCGCTATCGGTTTTTTGCGCCAGAGTCAAAGGACTTCGCGAAGTACCCCGAAGTTACACGAAGCGTCTCACTACACTACTCGGCGTACGCCAGTTATGAATATTTTTTTATATACAAATATTAAATATGTAACTTTCTACATAATTATTTATTTAGTTAACGCATTGACGTCGTACTGTTCACACAATTAGGAACCTATAGCAGCTGCCTCTTGAACGTCATTCATGTTAACGGTGCGAGAGACTCAAGACGACTGAGCTCTTCGCGAAGTAGCACGAGTGTGTGGTCACGTTCTTCGGACTGTGATCAACTTCGACGAGCACTTCGTCGAAGTTACTTCGCGAGTAGTGTAGAGGAAGCATTACATAATTGGAAGTGTGCTGACCGGTATTATCATCTGACCGCCATTACCCGATTTTACCCTACCGGTCTAAAAATTTATTTTGAACTGGTACTTAAATCTTTCTTCTCGCATTAGATGCGGATTTGAGAGTTGCCAGCTGTATAGATTACGCATGTTAAAATATCCGTCTTTTTTAAGAGTGGATTCATCGCTCCACAGAATTTTGACGAAGAATTGTGGATCTTGTTCTATTTTTGCAACCATTTGTCGACAAAAAAAGCAATCGTGCGTTGTAATCTCTCGGTTGTAGAGCTTAGACGCGTCTACCCTGGTAGGGATGAAATTTAATTTGTACACGGTGCACGGTCGTCTTCGAGATTCCAGTATGTCGTGTTTATTACTCTAGTAGGGGTGGATGGGTCTTGCTCAATTTCGTTAAGCACAATGCCTTGTGTATTGATATTAGCTAATCTTCCAGTACTCATACCACCAATGCCACTGCCGGGTGTTCTAACTTCCGAATATCACCTGTGGTCTCTGATGAATACGCGGTAATCTGGGTGACGCACGGTAGAGTATCTTTCCCTATAAAGGGCTGCAGCAGCACTTGCGTTGCTCCTGCATTCACCATAAATTAAGTGCATGTTTGCGTATTCTTGTGCCGTATAGTGAATACGTGGCATCTTGATACACAATATCAGTCCAGATACAAGCCAAGTCGTCGTAAAATTACCAAACAGAGTCCAAATCACAAAGCAAAACTATACTAAGTACAACATAGCTTGATCTTTTTAACAGATGTCAAATTTGCCATCGACATAACTTTGCAATGCCGAACATAATTTTTTTTATTTTATAGACACACAATACAAAAGTATTAAAGATTCAAGCATTTTCCGAAAATCTTAGTGATTTTTATTGCTACAAAGTAAGATTTAAAAAGAAAAACTGAAAACAATGGACACTCGTGCAATGTTACATTGTTCGGTCGGATGGGACACAAATAACAGACAGTAATTGTTACAAAGAAGCTTTGATTAAAATCATTTTTATCGATTTAGCAACAACGACTCCGACGATGAAAATCTTGGTTGTGCTTCTCTTCCCGATTAAAAACTATGTTTTAAAGAGAAAATTTTATTTTTTTTGAATTTGATTTGAACTCAATATTATATGAATAATATAGCCCATCGTCGCTTACCTACCCAATGTTTTTATATGTTTAGTGCAATAAAGTTGATTGATGAATAAATTAATTTATTTTGAATAGTTTAAAACATACATACAGTCACACCATCTCATCACAGTTACAAGTACCTATATAAAAAAGGTTATTTTTTGCAATACTAGATATTTTCTGTTTCCCAACACTAGACCCATCTGTCAAAAAGATCAAGCTATGTTGTACAGGGTATAAGAGTCCAATGAAATAGCCAGGAGTTGTCGTGATATCACTGATCTTAAAGTCACAGAGAACTCCAAAAGAATAACTAAAAGGATACATGCGATACCTAACAAGTCGAGAGACGCACTAATATAAAAAAGTACTCTGTGCGCACTAAATACTTGCCTTTGTTATGTGTCCAGTCGCGCGAGAAAAGGTACAATGTATTAACATTATATTCTTCTCTCGCTCACTTACACTCTACTACTATCCCTGTCTCGTAAATAGTAATAAACAAAAGATGGGTAGCGTGGGCCACACTCAGGCAGTAAATAAGGATATTATACGATTTTTACTACAATATAATTTAAAATTAAAAATTTTGTACAGCCGACTTCAATATAAGTTATTTAAGAATAACTTAAAAACTATTGGTCTGACCTTGATCAAATTCATATGGGACCACACGAGAAGTACCAGCTTTCAAATAAAAAAAGAATCATCGAAATCGGTTCACCCAGAAAAAAGTTCTGAGGTAACACACATAAAAAAAAAAACGAAAAAAAAAACATACAGTCGAATTGAGTACCGGCTCCTTTTTGGAAGTCGGCAGAAAAAGGACTCTTTCACTCAAGAACGCACTTGTCATTTTCACCGTTAAAGAAAAGATAAGATTTATTTTATTTGCTGTCTTTGGATAAAAAGATGTATTATAACATTTTGTAAACTGTATTAACTGCGCATATTTTTAAAATAGTTGGTCACTTAGGTCTTCATATTTTTTTTCTTCACGAATGGCTCTCAAACTTTTGCCAAAATAATTTTTTTATAAAGTTTCATGCTAAAAATTGAAGTTTTTTTTTGCAAAAAAGTACAATAGATACTCATACTCTTTACTGCATTTTTGATAGAATAGTCTGTGAGGAATAAGAGAACACTAGAAACGCAACGAATTTCATTAATTTGCGACAGTGGTGTACATGAAAGTACAGTAAGGTCAATAAAAACTTATTTTTATTAAAACCTTCATATTTTTGGCACCACTTGGAATATATTTTTTTTTTGTAATTTAATTTGAGCGCCTGATACCTGTAGGTACTATTAGGCGCTCCAAGATGTTCCATTCTTTCTGGGACACCCGATTTATCCATATCCTTTTCCACCACATAATTGTCCATTGAAGCGTGTTTGAAGGACAAATAAAAAAATACTTGCACATTTATAATGAGTAAGATTTTGTGTACGTAGTACTGGTTATTCGATATACATTCGATTCTGCTTTCCCAGATAGAACTAAATTTTTTTTCAGTCAATATTGTTAAGTATAAAATAATCATCTAAAGCATAAAAATAAAAAAAAGGTTTTATGAATAATGGTAAATTCCTAAATCATTAAAATACGATTATTCTCATTAGCTGCTGGGATTTATAAGGATTACAATTTTCAAAACTTTTAATATACGTTTAATAAAAATAAAGAATATGTTAGGTATAATGATGTCATAACAAATGTAAATATGTAAATAATATAAATTTTATATGCAATTGATCGTTATAAATTATACATTTGCTATTGCCGGTATTAGCTTCTCGTATATTTCAATTCCTCTTAAATATATATCTGCTTTTAAAAACTCGTCGTGGTCATGCAGAAGCACAGGAGTATTGTTCATTGGTGAGAATCCAATTGCAGGTATGCCCACTCGACGTATGTATCTGCTGTCTGTACCGCCTGGGAATATTCTGCAATCTAGTTTGAGTTTCCTGAAAAATAAATTTATGAGAGAGAGAAAGATATATAGTATACATAGCGTCACAAGTCGTCTAAGAGCAACAGGTTACTCAGAACACGCTTAGTCAAAAAGTATGGGTTTAGATTGAAAATTGTCAAAGAAGTAATAGATGGATAGCCCATCGCCTACACAATCACAAGCCCAATATCCTTTTAATCGTCTTTTACGACATGCTAGGCAAGTAATACCTCAACTGGCACATTATTTTCGTTTAAAGGCTGACATAAACATATAACCTAAAGTATCAGACCAACGTTGGGCCGAAATTTTAATAATTATACGATGAGCAAAAATGGAAAATGACCTGTCTAAAATCATACCGCTAGGTAGCATAATGCCGTGTAGTGGCGGTGTAAGAATATCCACTACCCCATATCGTGCCGTGGGTGTCGTACAGTGACAGAGGGAAATTGAAACAGGCGATGGGCAGCAGCATCTTCCTGATAAAAGTAAAGTAAAGTAAATTTACAGCCTATTTACGTCCCACTGCTGGGCACAGGCCTCCTCTCATTTCTGAGAGTGTTGTAGGACAAGGAAATGTCCGCCACGCTGCTCCAATGCGTGTTGGCGAACTTCACTTGTCTCCGAAATATTTTTTTTCTTATTTCTCAAACATGCAGGTTTCCTCACGATGTTTTCCTTCCCCGCCGAGCACGTGGTAAATCAGCACTTAAAATTGCAATTAACAATTTCATTGGTGCCGGTGGGGATCGAACCCGGGTTGCTCGAGTACTGTGAAGCTTACAGCGAGCGCTAGCCATCTGAGCTACCACGGCTCAATCTTCCTGATAACAACTAAAAATAATAAAAAAAAATGCGATTGACAGCCCCCTCGCCAGGCAATCTATAGGGGTGGCCTATGTTCATCAAAACTTAAGATAACTTAAGGTAAGATCCGAGTGAAAAATAAAATCAACCGATCGGCATCGGAATCAGTATACACATGGCTGGATATACATTAACTTAAAGCTCTCTGGACCGAAGCTTTGGTCACTGCAGCCACTCACAACTGAGACTAGCCATCTGCGCAGGACAAGTGTATAGTCTAGCCATCTGCGCAGGACAAGTGTATAGTCTAGCCATCTGCGCAGGACAAGTGTATAGTCTAGCCATCTGCACAGGACAAGTGCATAGTCTAGCCATCTGCGCAGGACAAGTGTATAGTCTAGTCATCGGCGCAAGGCAAGTGTATAGTCTAGCCATCGGCGCAGGACAAGTGTTTAGTCTAGCCATCGGCGCAGGACAAGTGTATAGTCTAGCCATCTGCTCAGGACAAGTGTATAGTCTAGCCATCTGCACAGGACAAGTGTATAGTCTAGTCATCGGCGCAGGACAAGTGTATAGTGTAGTCATCTGTGCAGGACAAGTGTATAGTCTAGCCATCTGCGCAGGACAAGTGTATAGGCTAGCCATCTGCGAATGCAAGTGTATAGTGTAGCCATCTGCACAGGACAAGTGTATAGTCTAGCCATCTGCGCAGGACAAGTGTATAGTCTAGTCATCAGCGCAGGGCAAGTGTACAGTCTAGCTATCTGTACAGGACAAGTGTATAGTCTAGCCATCTGCACAGGACAAGTGTATAGTCTAGCGATCTGCGCAGGACAAGTGTATAGTCTAGCCATCTGCGCAGGACAAGTGTATAGTCTAGCCATTTGCGCAGGACAAGTGTATAGTCTAGCCATTTGCGCAGGACAAATGTATTTCTAGACATCTGCGAGGGCAAGTGTATAGTCTAGCCATCGGCGCAGGGCAAGTGTATGGTGTAGCCATCTGCGCAGAACAAGTGTATAGTCTAGCCATCGGCGCAGGACAAGTGTATAGTCTAGCCATCGGCGCAGGGTAAGTGTATAGTATATTGTGTGCGTAAGTAGAGTCGAGACAATTTAAGTTATTGAAGAAGAATTTGCTGACAAGTATTAGCAGCCTGGAGTCAGTAAGTGATTCACCTCCGTGGATCTAAAAGCACATGTAAAACGCCGTTAATCCTGCGCCTAATCTCTCTCGTCGTGTTGGATTGCCGTCCCATCGGACTATGAGAGTGAGACTTTTTTTTATTATTGCTCTGTACTCCACAGAGCAATAATAAAAAAAAGTGAAAGGAGATAAGTTCCGTTAGCGAATGTCAGACCGACAAGGAAATAAATAGTACAATGTTAAATACGCCAGAAATATAACGATATCGAATATCGATATGTAACAAGTCGAGAGTTGACAAAGTATATGCTGTCATATTTTTGAAGGCTTTTTTAAATTAATGCCTATGATAATTAATAATATTTATAACCATCAGATATAAATATAACTAAATATAATACATATTAATAAATTTTTAATTTTAATATCGCTATACACAATCTCCAATAACCTTCTAACTCTCCATTACGGGGCTTTCGGCCCTTTGCCATTGATCATATATATGAAAATTTCGATTATTTAACTATTGTGTCTATTTCGCGGACAGGCAACAGCTGTTAATGTAATTATTCCTTTATCATCAATCTCCTTGCACGTATCCACGCTTTCATAATCAACTTTTACAATACTCAGACGAGATAAGATAATGAGGATTGTTGCACCGCCATGAAACAGCGGGGACAGTAACCTTAATTTTGTAAAAAATATTCATTTCAGTGACTTTATTATTAAGTTCGCCAAACACGTATTGACGAGCCATAGGCTAACGTAGCGGACTAGTCCTAAAATGCAAGTAATGAGAGTAGGCCCATGCCCAACTGTGGGATGTAATGTAGGCAGTTTCTCCAATCAACACAAATTACTGGCTACTAAATCTACTACAACTCTACTAAATGAAGCTGCAGTCTCGGTAGATTTGGCAGCATACAGGCAACTGAACAGACATAATATCTCCAAATGCGTGCGGTGGAACTTACGCAACTTTAATATTGCTCGTTTTGAAGAAGCGATCGAGCGGAACCAGGGCTCCAAAGTCTTTGCCAGAGATCTATCTGCCAGAAAGAGCCAACTGTCGAAGCTGAAGACCGAATGAAACAGCATCGTTTCCGGGTCACCTGAGATTTTGAGCAAGTGTGAGTAATCAAGATCCAAGAGCAAGTCTTATTCGATACTATTTCGATTATATCCGGGACGTCAGTCTGAGCGAGATTAGAATGGCTCTTCAGCACCGTAAAAACGCCAAGTCCCCGGGCGAGGATGGAATTACAGTGGAGCTTCTAAAAGCGGGTGGAAAACCGGTACTTGAAGTCCTTCGGATGCTCTTTAGTTCCGTTCTCCATGGTGGCACTACTCCGGAGGCGTAGAGCAGAAGTACGGTGGTCTTGTTCTTCAATGCTTTCTCAAAGAACTACAGACCGATTTCTCTTCTGAGACGCGTCTACGTGCTGTTTTCGAAAATCATTACGAATCTTCACGCACGCATACTCGACGACTTCTAGCCTCCTGAACAAGCCGGTTTCCGAAAAGGCTTTGGCACCATAGACCACATACATACCCTTCGGCAAATTGTACAGAAGACCGAGGAGTATAATTTGCCACTATGTCTTGCGTATGTGGATTGTGGACTATGAGAAAGTCTTTGATTCCGTCGAAATTTGAGCGGTGCTGCAGTCCCTTCAGCGGTGCTAAGTTAACTGTCCGTATATCAAAGTGCTGAAGTGTTTGTACAGTAGGGCTACTATGGCTATCGGAGTACAGAACTGCAAAACCTATCCAAAGACAGAGAGGTGTAAGACAGGGTGACGTTATATCCCTAAAAGTCTTCACCGCTACATTGGAAGACGGTTTCAAGCTACTAGAATAGAAAGGATACGGTATTAACATCATTGTCGAGTACGACACTTACCTTTGATTTGCCGACGTCCTTATAGCATAATCGCTGGTGGATGCACTATGCTCAATAACCACAACAGTGCCTCCCAACGGATAGGTCTTAAGATGGACATGGACAAAAGAAAGATCGTGTATAATGTCCATGTCACACCTATGTCGGTAGTTGTTGGTAGCACTAAGCTCGAAGTTGTTGACGAGTATGTTTCCCTGGGACAAATAGTCTGACTAGGTAAGTCCAACTTCGACCGAGCGGTCAATTGACAGATTCAACTCGGCTGGGCAGCGTTCGGGAAATTACAACACATCTTCTCGTCAGGTATACCTCAAACCTTGGAAACGAGACTGTACATCCAGTGCGTGTTGCCAGTAATGACTTATGGAAGTGATACGGGGTCCTTCACTGCTGGCCGTATGAGGAAGCTCAAGGTCGCTCAGCGAGTTATGGAGAGGGCTATGCTTGGTGTTTCTTTGCGTGATAAACTTAGAAATGAGGATATCCGCAGTAGAACCAAAGTGACCGACATAGCCCAAGGGATTAGTACTCGTAAGTTGAAGTGGCAATGGGCTCTAAGAACCGTACAACCGATGGGGAAAAAAGGTTCTCGAGTGGCAGCCTCGTACTGGTATGCGAAGTGTAGGGCGACCCCCCACTAGATGGAGTGACGACCTGGTAAGACATGTGGGAAGTCGATGGATGCAGGTGGCTCAGGACCGTGCTTTGTGCCATTCCTTGGGGGAGGCCTATGTTCAGCAGTGGACTTGTGAAGGGTTGTAATGATGATGATGATGATGAACTCTAACTACGGGCTGGTTATAGAGATTTAATAATTGAGACCTTACATTTCATCACAAGCTCCTTTAAAAGCAACCCAGTAGGGATTGGAGTTATCCGTTTTGGTACATTCAACGTTCGGATTTTTCTGTTCAAATTCAAATGTTACGCCGTCACCAGCTTCTTTGCACCATTGTTTTATCTATAAAATAAATAATTATTGTAGCATATTTTTTTCTCTCTTTTAAGTTAGTTAAATCTTTATATTATCAACTTGGAAATAATTTTCCACGAAAAATTTTCAAGATTGGAAATGAATATCTGATAGTAAGTATGTCTGTGGCCCATAGACACCTTCATCTAATCACCGATTAAGATTCAAAATGCTGATGTGTTGTCATCCCTGGGACAGAGATAAATGCCTCGTTACCAGTAAATGGGGTTTAAAGCAGATGCTCGTATTCAGTAAAAGCGTGGTCCTACTTAGACCTATCCCGGTCGAGCCGATGCGTTTTTACATCTGTAATCCAGCTGAAACCTGGCTGTACCATGTAAAGTTATTTATATACTTTAGAAAATTTTCATAAAAAACAATGTATATTTAAAGTGTACGCTATATGACCGTGTAGTGGCGGTGTAAGAATATCCACTACCCCATATCGTCCCGTGTGTGTCGTAAGAGGCGATAGAGGGAAACAAAGCGAGAGATCGGCAGCAGGATCTTCCTAATAATAACAAAACAACAAAAACATATGTTGCCAACCCGCATGCCAAGCATGGCAACTACGCAAAATATGGCTACTAAGTATATAAGGCAATATGTGGGTGACGCCCATGTTCTGCAGGGGACTCTTGATTGGTTACAACGGTAACGGTACCTTATAAGGGCCAAAGAATTAATGTTAATAATGTGCACATATGTGTACACACACATACACACACACACACACACACACACACACACACACACACACACACACACACGCACACGCACACGCGCAACGGTAACGGTACCTTATAAGGGCCAAAGAATGAATGTTAATAATGTGCACATATGTGTACACACACGCACACGCACACGCACACGCACGCACGCACGCACGCACGCACGCACGCACGTACGCACGTACGCAAGCACGCAAGCACGCACGTACGCACGCACGCACGCACGCAAGCACGCAAGCACGCATGCAAGCACGCAAGCACGCACGCACGCACGCACGCACGCACGCACTCACGCACGCACGCACGCACGCACGCACACACACACACACACACACACACACACACACACACAATATAACAAAAACCCTGTGGTTCCCGTTATCATTGTTCAAACTTATAGAAATAACTTTTTTTTAAAACTCGAGCAATATTTTTTTTAATTTTATTAAAAAAAATTGTATGCAAATTGTATGTGGATTTATTACCTCTGCATTGTCTGGGGAGTAAGAGGATTGTCAAAAACCCCGCTTTATTTAGCTTTAGCATTGGCTAGTGTCACTAAGAGGTAATAAATGCAAATAAAATTAAAAAAATTTTTAATAAAATAAAAAAAAATATATATGGTCGAGTTTTTAAAAAAAAGTTATTTCTATAGGTTTGAATAGTGATCCTGATAACGTACTTAAGGGGAACCACAGGGTTTTTGTTAGATGTTGTATATTAATAGATATTAAAACACACTTTAAAGTAGGTACCTTATTTTCGAAGTCTTCGTGATTAACAGTGACTGACAATCGTATGTCGAAGACAACAGTAAGCTTTTCAGGTACGACGTTAGATTGCACTCCTCCCTATAACGAAAAACGCTCAAATTTTGGTATACACCTAATAAAAAAGCCGTATGATGATGGAATGTATAGACAATGGTTCTAAAGTACATTTTCAACACAATGTTATTATTATTTCCCTGGAGCATGCATTTGAATGTTGGAATATCACCCATTATCAAAAAAGTTTTATAGATATTTAATGACTACTTCGTAGTGATAGTATAGTATAACGCTATAATTTGGGAAAGGCCTTTTGACGATAATTTTGCTTTTATATTAAGGTAATTAAGATTTTATTAAAACTTAGCGAATTTCTAGTGAGTTAGTCTAATAGGTTTTACATTAACAAACTTAGATTAACAGAAAGCTATAAAAAGCTATATATATATATATATATATATATATATATATATATATATATATATATATATATATATATATATAGCTTTATATATATATATATATATATAGCTTTTTAATCTCTATATATAAAAATCAATTGCTGTTCGTTAGCCTCGCAAAATCTCGAAAATGGTTGGATCGATTTTGATGAAATTGATTGTGTGTGTTTGAGTGGGTCCCTCAAATCGTGTAGTGGCGGTGTAAGAATATGCACTACCCCATATCGTCCCGTGGGTGTTGTTAAAGGCGACAGAGGAGAAATGAAACATTAACAACTGGAAACAATAAAAAACTGCGGTTGCCAATCCGCTTGCCAAGCGTGGCAACTATGGCAAAATCCCCTTATGAGGTAATCTATGAGGGAGGCCTATGTTCAGCAGTGGACTTTTATAGGCTGTAATGGATGGAATGGATGGAGTGGGTCCCTGGATTGTTTAGATTCACAATTCGACCCGGTAAGTAGCGCTGTTGTCGAGATCCAGAAACCGTGCCTTCACCCGTGCGAAGCCGGGGCAGATCGCTAGTATTGTATATACAGGGTTATTTTTCAGAGAGTAGTTAAATTTTAAACTTATGTTCAAATATATAAACAATGATATACCGTTATTGGAGGTTATGAATATACAAGTAAATAAGACTTCTACTTTTATTTGAAATTATCCCAAATTGAATGTGATTTATGGGCAACAACTACGCGTACGCACGATCCTCTGTGTGCGATTTAATTGACAACTTTTTGCCGACCGAGCGACACTTACGAATGTGTGAGTGCGTAGTAAAATAGTAGGCGTTAGATTTTTATGAATGACAATTAGTTAAAATAATGCATTACCACCGATGATTACCACGCATTTTGAATATAAAAGATAACAAGGACAGATTGCTTGATATTTTCTTCATCATTTGCCTATATTACTTATTTTGAACTTTCTCAGCAATATTGGCCGGTTATTGCAAAATAACCATGTATACTTCATTAGATGTTAATTTCTAATACCTATGATTTGTATAGTGTATAAAAAAATGTTATTTAGAAATTTTTATGGTCAAAGTTTTATTAATATCGCTATCGTCGAAATCCAGCAAATATCACAGTACAGTTATAGTAGTGCCTAGTATAGTAGTGTATACTTAAATGCTGCTCAATTTTAAGACGCCGCTAAATCTCGTAATGTCTCTTAATTCAAAGTGACTGTGACACCACGACACTTAGCGACATCATGAAATTGAGTAACGTTTGAGTATTTAACCAAACGAGTCACGGTTTAGAAATCGTACTAGAGGAATTCGCTGCTTCAGTTTTTATGTTTACAGTGGAGCAACAATAGTTTACAACAAGTACTTACGTATATTTGAGTCAAATTTATTGTTGTAACATCACCTATAGTTAATTTGTTATTGCTCTCAAGTATTTTCTTCTGCTCCTCTCTCATATCCATGAATTTATTGATTATGTATCGTACCTGAAAATGTACCATCGGACAAACTTTATGAACATTTTTGATTATACAAAGTTAATTCGCTTTACGCGAATATTACTTTAATAAATTTAAACTTAGTCGGGTTGGTAAAATTTACAATACTTAAATAACTTTTGATTAGGTGTACAAAGTTATATCGTTTTGGACTAATATATCGACCTGATATATTAGTATTATAATATATTATATTTTACTATATTATATTATATTATATTTTAGTATATTATATTATATTTTACTTTAGTAAACTTATTATAGACTTAAACGGGTTGATTATAATATGTTTTATTCTGAATACAACAAATACGAACTACTACGAAAAAAATTAATTCCTGATAAAGATTTTTAGTAGTCGTGAAATGAGTTTACTTTCAAACTATTTGTGATAATCTATATGTCTACGAATAAAATTTTAGTGCCTGTTTGTAATATTGAAATAACTGGTTTCTAATTAGCTGAAGGGGTTATTAGCATGATATTAAGAGATAAATAACCATTTTTTAAAATGTTAGTCTGTCTGTATGTCCGGACTAATCTTCGAAATGGCTAAACCGATTGTAATGAAATTTTGCGAACAGATAGAGAGCTATGTCAGACAAGCCTAGGCTATATTTTATACGAAAGACTAGAAGATTATTTAAAAAAGAAAAGGAAAAATGAATAAAGTAAATATCTTCAATATAATAACGCCACATAATAGATCCCATCCAGGCAAAACCGGGGCGGGTCGCTATTAAATAATAAATATACCTTTTCACCAGCAGTGTTCGGTAACAACAAAGAACCGTGTCCAGGTTGTCCAGTGCAGTGAACGTGTATTTCTGCAATGTTATAATATAAAAAACAGCTCAAGGAATGTCTATATAAATTATAATATTTATATTTAATTAGAATAATATACATACGCCAGATACTTCGTTCCCCGTTAAAAATTACGAATTCATCAGTAGGGTTAGCCATTCCTTCGTCTAACGCAAATCCGACATTCAGAGCTTTAAATTCGTCAGTTAAAACAAATTTTTTCATGCCATCATGCCCTCCTATCTCCTCATCTGTAAACAAGTGCGTATTATTTCAGTCTTGTTTTAATTTGTTTGTTAAAATATAAATTTCAATTGAGGACATTTTTCTCTACAAAAAAATGAAGTCGAGAAAAAGTGCAGCAACAGTTCGAGATATGAGAAACGATAGCAAAATTAATCAGGTCAATATATTATATTCTTTTTAATTTTTTTAAATTGTACCTGGCACAAAAGATACATGTAATGTCCTTTTTAATTGCACTTCAGCTTGCTTCAGTTTCCTTATCGCTTCAAGATATTGAATCCCAACACACTTCATGTCCTGGGAACCGCGAGCATATATTTTTCCGTCTTCGTCAATATGGGCACTAAATGGCGGATAAGTCCAGCTGTTCTATAATAAAGTTAATTATTGAAAAGGTTTGCTTGTGGGATGATTTTTCAATTTCGTTGCAGTGTCTCGGTGATTTTTTTACTATTCCAAGCAAGTAATAGACTACTATGACACCTGATGGTGAGTGGTGATTCAGCCAGTAATAAATTACAGATAAAGGCTACCTATGCGTTCTCAATTCTGAGGATTAAGATGTAATGCATTACAGCCTGTAAATATTTACATTTGTTCGATATACTCTTCAAATTGGACACAGCAGTTGACGCACTGCTGTTGACGGCAGAAATAGTTAAGTGGCTGGTACCAGCCCAGACAGCTTTCTAGTCAAAAAAGGAGTCCTACTCGTATGTATGAGATTAATAATTTGATACTATAAATCAAATAAATTATACATGATTGAGCCATGCTGCAGTTATATTTGTAGTATAGTTGTAGTACGATTGGATCGGTTCGACCGGGGAAGGACCACGCTCTCACAGAATACCAGCGTAAAATGGCAGCTTGACACTGGTGTGTTTCGTATGGTGAGTGTAGAGAACCGGAGACCCATTTTACTGGAAAAGATGGCATTCCATCTTAGTCCTCACGGGTGACGACGCATCTGCATTTTGACTCTTTATTGAGGATAAATGTAGATGTCTAAGGGTCACAGCAACCACTTACCATCAGGTGGACTGTATGCTCATTTGTCACCCTATCCTATAAAAAAATGATTTGATAAAACAAATTATTCGATATAAATCAACTACCCCATATTATCCTGTGGGTTACAGAAGCGGCATCTTCCTGATACAACATGTAGGTAATAAGAAACTGCGATTGCAAACCCGCCTGCTGAGCGGAGCAACTATGACAAATATCCCCCTATGAGGCAATCAATGCGGGTAGCATATGTTCAGCAGTGAACTTTACATAAGCAGTAATGATAATGATAATCAAACAAATGATTCCACATTATCTTTATAGTCATTATTATAGTCAGCCTGCGGCAGTGCACAGTTGGACTCTCACAAGTCCACCGCAGAGCCCAAATTTCGTAGAGCGCTGGGCGTAGGCAGATCTCTTGTGTTAAATTCATACCTCAAACACTGGCACGACGTCCATATGTGAATTTAGCAGTATTGATGGTAATTTAGAATCCTGGCCCACCCACGTCATGACAATGATTGGTTTACGAGGTACCACCTCGTATATCTGATATTCCAATCCGATTTCATTTGCTTGTTTCTTAAGGAAATTAATACATTCATCTATAACAATATAAACAAATCAGATATTAGGTATATATATGAGCATCAGTTATAACAAAAAAATCGAAATATTAGGCAAAAGTATTCGGCTGGGAAGGAAGTGGTGTTTATTCTTCAGCGTCTATTCTCTGAAGCTGGGATTGTTTACGAGAAGAAAACGACTAAACTACTGCCTGAAAATGAAGAAAAATTAGTCACTATTATCTTCCAATTAATTATAATAATTCGAGTGCATAGACATTTATCTGATAATTTTTTTTATTACTTTTAAATGTAACTATGAATTATTAATGATCAAAAAAATTTATAAATTAAATAAATATATTAATTTTACCAATAATCTGACCGCAATAAAACCTCTTACTTAAGTATTTGGTATTCGGCCGAATAGGATAAAAGTAGCAGAATAGGCCGAATACCGAATAATAGCCGAATATGCGCAATTATTAGGGACCAATTGAAATGGAAAACGGGTCTTCATCGTCAGTCCTACAGCAGAGATCAACCAATTAATGATTTTATATTCACAGATCCCCATACCACACCACGTTAGTTCGGGAACGAGGTGGGCGTGACCTCTGAGTAGGCGCCCAGAGCCCGTCTGTACTCTCTCAAAAGGTTAGACGACTAAGGTTACGGGTCCCTAAGGAATGGTCCCGGTCTTGACGTCAGTCATCAGTGGAGTGTATTTCAGGTACTTGGTTCGACGCTGGGTTATCTTATAAATAAAACATCGATTAATCTTCATATACTTTTACAACAAAATTCCAGAAAATATACAAAATTTGACCTGCTTAAAGTTCAAAAACTTTATTAAACTAAGTTTGTATTTTTTATACATTAAAGGGGTTATTATAATATTAAAGAATTTATGGATGATAATAACCCCTGGAAATGAGGTGATCGCTACCAAGCTATTTCTAATTTGTTGTATTGTTAATTTGTGTAACATACATGATTGTAAGCTTTATTTTAAAAAAAAGTCCCGCTGGGTTTCTTGCTGGTTCTTCCCAGGACAGAGATTTTTTTCCTCGAACCAGTGGTAATTAAACAAAAGAGTGACTTTCAATAAGTATTATTTATAATCTACATTGAATAAAAAAGTTTCTGTTTCTGTTTCTACAAAAGCCCTCATTGGGAATGAAATATGGAAAATTTCACTACTTTATAACTCACTTCTCCCTAATTGTTTTTTTTCTTGAGTTAAAACTAAAAACTTGTAGGTATACTGCAAGCACAGAGTACTTTTTATATACTGAAAAACTGCAAGTCTAATATACATATATAGTTACCAACGCGCTCGCCAAGCGTACCAACTATGGTAAATATCCCTCCAGTGAGACAATCTATTTTCAGCAGTGAAGAATGCTTACCGATATTATACCGCAAACTGTCGGAATCTTTTTGTTATTTCCCTGGAACACCTGGGACGTATAATTAGATTGTGGAGTCTCTTAGGTCCCAAGATACGGCAATAATAATTAATATTGATACTATACTCATAAATAAATAACTCGCTTAATTCTAGAAACTTTGCGGACATATCATGGTATTATGCTTGCTCTTAGTATCTTTCAACTTTAATAATAATTTACATTTACTCTTTTTTCAATTTTAAAGGTCTTATAAGAAAAAAAAAATCGGTAAACAGAATGGATTTATTATGATATATCAAATAAACGGGCAAATATATGTCTAGTCCGTGTCTTTCGAATCCAGCCGGTCGATGGCTTTGCATTGGCAGAAATTAATTCGGAAAAGTAACTTATATTATAGAAATAGATTTTTTTAATTTAATATAAATCATAAATAATACTTATTGAAGGACGCTCTTATGTTTAATTTATCACTGGCTCGCAAAATACCTCTGTCCTGGGAAGAACCATTAAAAAAAAGGAATAGTTTACAGTCATATATTACGTTACACGATAATTAACAACACAAAACGAATTAGAAATATCTTGGTCACCTCACCATTAATCACCCATAAATTCCTTAATATTATAATAAACCTTTTTATACAATATTTGTTGAATAAAAATTTTATACTTGGCGGAAATCAGCAATTTTACTTTAATTTTACATCTGTATTCTGGGATTTTGTTGTAATAGCGTGTACAAGTATATCGTTCCTCCAAGAATAAATTCTTACTCTGTGTAGTCGAATAGAATAGAATCATGTTTATTCAATTTAGATTACAGTAATACTTATTGAAAGTCATTTTTTACTTTTACCACTGGTTCGCAAAAAAACCTCTGTCCTGGGAAGAACCAACAAGAAACCCAGCAAGACTTTTTTTACAAGCACAATTTACAATATAATCATTTATACAATTGTAATGAAAACATTTAGAAACAGCATGGTAGCGATCACCTCATTCCCAGGGGTTATTATCGGTCATGTACTCTTTAGTAGTATAATAACCCTTACTAGATTTTTTGCTTAATAAATCTATACAAATAAATAAAATTGAAGTGTCTATTTGTAATGTCAAAATAATAGCTTTTTATTAAATGCAGGTGAAAGTATATATATATATACGTTACTTATAACAAAAAATCTATTTTTAATATTTTTGTCTGTCTCTCCGTCCGTCTGTATGCCTGTCTGTTTGTTCCGGCTGATCTCCGAAACGGCTAAATCGATTTTGACAGGACTTTCACCGGCAGATAGTTGATGTTATAAGGAATAACTTTTATTTTAGAAAATTAATCAGGGTTCCACGCAAAAAAAACCATGAATTCCACGCGGACGAAGTCGCGGGGAACAGCCAAGGCATCTACTGCCTCCGCCCATCTTTGAGTAAGGTAGACCAGAAGATCACCAGCTGATTGACGACCATCGAATCAGCTGATGATCCTCAAGGTAGCTTATGAGCTGGCAGCTTATAATGGATTCAATTATTTTGGATTTTGAACAAGGAGATAATGGCGATAGGCCTGTAGTTAGTCGGGTCTCAACGGTCGCCTTTTTTAGCGATCGGGTGAACCAAAGCTGTCTTCCATGAATTCTGGACTACGCATAAGAAGTAGGAGTACCGGAAAAGTCGCGTTAAAACCGGTGCCAACTCCGGAGCACACATCTTCCGTACAATAGGAGAGTCTCTATCAGGCTCACTTGACTTGTTGATGTCCAAGGAGAAGAGTGCTTTGCGCATCGAGCGTTGTGTTGTTTAATATCGTGCATGAAGCACTAACACCGCGAGATGGTCGGCGTTGCATTCCCCTCGAGAGTCGAGTTGGACGCAAAGAGAGAGCCTAGCAGATCGGCTTTTTCTTTTGCCGCATGGACCAGTGGGTCGTCCTCACTATGCAGAGATGGCTGACAGAAGTTCCTTTGGACAGCCTTGGCGAGAGATTAGAATGCACATATTCCCGAAGGAAGTCTAATTAGTTTCTCGCCAATTCTGCCGATGTGTTCTGATTTTGCTTTGGCAATGACACTTGTGAAGAACCTGGAGGCGGAATCATAATTATTTTTAAGTGCGATGGTGTTTGCATCCCGAGACGTTGATTTCTATTTATGCATGTTATAAGCGCGATATATGAATTAAGGCAAATCACAACAATTATTTTCTTTTAATGTTTTAATACGTACTTACTTCACTGTGTTTTGGTTATAAGAAGTTAGATTAAAGAATTAAAAAAAAAACACAAAACAATTATTTAAAGAAAATTATATTAAAAAATCTATGTAGCACATCGATTTATTATAAATGAATCATCCAAGTTTTTGAATCATTATAGTCATTACAGTCCATCACAAGTCCACTACTGCACATGACTTCCTCCATAGATTGCCGCAAAGCGCGGTCGTAAACCGCTTTGCTTTTTATGAGTTTTTCGTTTAAGTACTAATTTATAATTAGTAGTACTACTAGGTTTTAATTATTATAATTTTACTTGTTTTTGTTTTTCTAAAATATGACGAAAATATAAGGTGTTCTTAATTTAATATAAAACAAATGTCATTTGTTAAACTTTTAATTCAAAAACCTATTTTATAACACAGACGACTACAGGCGGCGAGTGATTGATCTTTATTTCCTTAGCACTGTCGTCTAAAGTCTCAAAATAAATTAAGTCTTAACCCAGTATATTCTAAGTCTACGGTCTTAACTAATGATATTTATTATAGTTTATAGCAACTCTGATTTATATTACGTGGCTCAATTTAAGTGTTTCTTATTATGTATCTCAAACCAAATTACGGTCTAACGGCTGACACTCCGTATATTTCGTATATCTAATTACAGCCCATTAATTCCCACTAAAAGAAAAGAAAAAAACTTGTAAATTTAAGCAAAAATAACGCCATTACTATGTTTATAGTCATATTTATCCAAATCCTTATTTTATTGGGTCCAAAGCTTGTCAAAAGATTAGAAATATGAGCGTTCTCCGTTGCCTGCGTGTTTTGATTTTAAATTTAACAATGATAAATTTATAAGTGAGTGTCGTTGAACACTCGGTTAGAACGAAGTTTCTTTCGTAGTATATTATTATTGATAAACGTATTATATTTTTCATTAACTAGCTATTTCACTAGCGTCTATTAAAATGAAGCGTCATTAACTAGCTATTTCACTAGCGTCTATTAAAATGAAGCGTCATATATTTATATACATATAATAAATCTGTAGAAAAGTCGTGTCTGTAATTCTAATATATTCTTCAAAAAACAAGTCCAGGGGACTAAATAAAGGGTTCTGAACCCAAATCAGTGGTTTTTAGAATTTTTGTCTGTCTGTCTGTCTGTCTGTCTATCTGTCTGTCTGTCTGTGTATTCCGGATTCACGCAAAAACTACTAGACCGATTTACATGAAATTTTGTATATAGGTAGTTAGTAACCCGGGGCAACTTATAGGCTACTTTTTATCCGATTACGGAACTTCAAAAAAGAAGGTTAAGTATTTTCCTTCCTTTAGATGTTGATTTTCTATTATATCTTAGTTATCGATGGGATGACGAGTGTTTTTCAAATAAATACCATATTTAT